TTTCTTTTAACATAATTAACATTTTTATACATATATCCTGGTTATTTTTATTTCCATAAGACAGATTCCCCAAAGTGGGGTTATGGAGTTAAAGGTACTTCAGACTACTATGCCAAAAAATTATGAACCAATTAGACTCCCCTCCAACTACACTTGAATTTCTTAAAGCTGGGTCTAGTGGCCTTCTGTGAAATCATGAATATTTCAGAAATTAGACACAAAATTAATGGTATACATAAGCATAAACAATTTTAGGGCAAGTCTATATTTTCTAACAGATTTCTTTTTTTTTTTTTTAATAGTTCTCCCCAAATGTCTGGAGGTACTTTGGACTTTTTTTTTTTTTTTAAGAGAGAGCGAGAGAGAGAGAGAGAATTTTTTAATATTTATTTTTTAGTTTTCAGCGGACACAACATCTTTGTTTATATGGGTGCTGAGGATTGAACCCGGGCTGCACGCATGCCAGGCGAGCGCACTACCGCTTGAGCCACATCCCCAGCCCTCCAACAGATTTCTTAAAAGTGTGAAGCCCAGACAAGGCTGAGAACTAATACATAATAGGGCTGGGGTTGTGGCTCAGTGGTAGAACACTCGCCTAGCACGTGTGAGGCCATGGGTTCAATCTTCAGCACCACATAAAAATAAATAAATAAAGTTATTGTGTCCAACTACAACTAAAAAATAAATATAAAAAAGAACTAATACAATATACATTTATTTCCCTACGCTTTCTTTCATTCAGCAAACTTTCTATTGAAGTTCTCTTTATATCTGCTTACTAAATATTAGTAGAATTAATAAATGCATATATTCAAACATATAAGGCACTGGGAACATAGAGATGAATGAAATGTGACTTCTATTCTACAGGGCCTCACAGTCTTTGTGGATAGAAAGAAAGTGAAAGAAAGTGGAAATGAAGGTAGACAGGTACTCTAGTACAATCAAATATTCTAGCAGGCACTAAGGCATGAGGCAAGGAAGAATAAAATGTAATTGGGGAAGACTGAATGTTTCAGCCTGCTGAGATCTAATAGCACCAGTTTCAGGAGAGAGGGTGGCCAATCTAGAAGTCAGAGGGTGGCTTCAAAAAGCATAAATTTGTATTATATACCTTCTTTTTGTAACTAAATGTCAACAGGCACACAGTTCAGACTTCCTAAATTATTATTTACAGTGGTAAGGACTGAACCCACCCAGGGCCTCGTGTATGGTAGACAGGTACTATACTCTAAATTATTACCAATCACAATCTCATCACAGTTTCACACAATAAAAGGCGGTATAATACATAGATTAGGAATATGTTTTTTGACATTACATACAATAATTTAACCTGAGTCTTTGGCTTCCCTGTCTGTAAAATGAAGCTTATTACACTACATATATTCTATTTTAAGATGCACACTTTTTCATACTCAAGCTCTTTTGAAATAAATATACATATTAAAGTCAGTACTCATATTTAATTTTGTAGTTTTTTTCTTCCACCCCAAAGCTATCATATTAATACACCTTTTACTTAAAAGGATGGATCTCAGAGCCTGGGCATGGTGGCACACACCTGTAATCCCAGCAGCTCGGGAGGCTGAGGCAGGAGGATCATGAGATCAAAGCTAGCCTCAGCAACTTAGCAAGGCCCTAAGCAACTCAGTGAGACCCTGTCTCTAAATAAAATATAAAAAAGGCTTGGGATAAAAAAAAACAAAGGCAGAATGATGTCTTTGATATGAGGATGCAGATGCATAATGGCGACTGGGGTGTGGGAGCATGGGAGGAATAGAGGAACTTTAGATAGGACAAAGGGGAGAGAGGGGAAAGGAGGGGGTAAGGAGGTGGAATGAATTAGACATCATTACCCTATGTACATGTAAAAGACATACATGGTGTGAAAATACTTTATGTACAAACCAGTGTCTTGACAAATTGTGTTCTGTATGTGTAATATGAAATGAATTGCATTCAGCCATCATGTATAACAAATCAGAATTTTAACAAAAAGGGCTGGGGATATGGCTCGATGCTTAAACATCCCTGGTGCCTTTGGGGAAAAAAAAATGGATCTCAGAAACAAGAAAACAGGTAATATAACACTAATTTCATCATTAGTAAAACTGATGTACTAATTCTTTCCAGGTCATAAGTTTTTATAAAGATTAACTAAGATAAAACCCATTAAACTCTTGTACCTTCCACAAAGGAAATCACACATACACACAAACAGTATTCATAGTGACTATATTAGAAGAGAACTGGTGTTTTGGATGGAAGGCCACTTCCATAAAAGGCTGTTTTATAAAAGATGAAAGAAACTTGTTCAGGTCTTGCTGCTAACCTTTTCCTTGATTAATAGATTTCTGACAGGATTCGTTAAACTGTGGAGCCCCTGGAAGTCCTACTATTTCTAAGGTGTATCTGATCTGGCTGAGTGCACTTTTATACAATCAGAAGGGCTGGGGATGTAGCTCAGTGGTCAAGTGCTTGCCTAGCATGTGCAAGGCACTGAGGTCTGATCCCCAGCACAACACATACAGAAAACAAAAACAGAAACAAAAACTTAATTAAGTCAAATCATTGTGTTCAAAACCTTCCAGTGGCTTTTCTTTCTGTCAAAATGAAAGCCCGAGAAAGAAAAAAAAAAACCCTAACATCAGGGAGCTGGTCTGACAATAGGTAGACCTCAGTATTGCTAGAAGCTGGCCTGGCATTCATAGAGAGGTCAGGTTGTTCTTTCGTCTTTTTTTTTTGGTACTGGGGATTTAACCCAGAGGCACTTAAAAAATAAGTCACATTTCCAACCGTTTTTTAATTTTTAATTTTGAAACACGGTCCTACTAAGTTGCTTAGGGCCTTGCTACTTTGCTGAACTTGGCTTTGAACTTGTGATCCTCCTGCCTCAGCCTCCCGCGCCACTGGGATTACAAGCATGTACCACTGCACCCAGCTGCCAGGTTATTCTTCTGTTGCACATAAACCATTTCACAGAACACCAACCCAAACATAGTCACTCAGATCATGAGAAAGTGAGACACAGCAGGGCCACTTAATTTTGTCTGAACAAAGACAAGAACAAGGTCACTGTGTAATCTATGAAATACCAAACATTCTCCTCTCTCTAATAAAATTGACTGATGTTTCTTTACCAATTGTGGCTTTATCCTCACCCTATTTTGTTCATCTTACAGATAATATTTATTGAGATATTCCAGTCACAGAAATGTCCCTGCTTTATGACAGGATACAATCCAGAGTGAAGATTTGTTTCCTTAAAACCTTCCCCAAGTTACCCAGATCCTGTAATAGTTTCTTTCTAACACTCTTACTGAGCTGTCCCAATGGTTCCCCACAATACTTTTCCCCTCATTTCAAGGAGTAATAAATCCATTTTGTTTAAACACAGGTGTGTTCCTGATGGTCTCTGGCTGGAGGGAAAAACCACAGTCCTGAAAATTGTCTACAAAGCCCCACAGTGGCTCTTTGATATGACCTCAGAATCGCCTGGAAATCTGTTTAAACAGATAGCTGGGGATCCCCAGAGTTTCTGATTAAATAAATCAGGAGTGGGAGTGGGGTCTTAGAAATGACTTCACCATTAATTTCTAAGAATATACACTGAAATATACAATGCATGCATATTTCAAAACAAAATGTTGTATACAATAAATATATATAATGTTTGTGTCTATTGATAAAATTGATTTTTTAAAAAAAGAACTGCATTTCTAACACATTCCAGGTGATACAGAGGTTGTTACCTGAGACCACACTGAGACCACATAAGAATCGCTTATGTAAACCATCTCTCCTTCCTGCTTTTTTTCTCTGACTTCCATCTCTGCTTGCTCACTTCTTACTTCATTTTATTCCAGCCATTTGGGCCTCCTTGTTGTTTTGAGCCTCCCCAAACACATTCCTGTCATGGGACTTTGCTTTGGTTGCCCTCTAATTGAACACTCATCTCCTCACCTCTCAATGAGATATACCCTGGTCTTCTTTATCCTATCATTTAAAATTTTTATTCTTCACCACACTTAATCAGTCCCAACATGACTTACCCCCCCCCCCCCCCCCCCCCCCCCCCCCCCGTTGCTGGGGAAAAAACCTTTGTGTCAATGCACCTGTGTCAATTTCATTGGTATACTCACAGAACTGAAAAGTTGGCACTAAATGGGTTAAGAAATGCTCCTTCCAGCTTTTCAATGTCTTCTCCTTATTGAGTCACAACATCCCTACTTTTGGCTCTTCCTATAAATACAATCACCCTCCTGACTAACAAACCTCTTGATAACTACAATAGCCAGCTACTACAATTTTTTAGCCCCAGCGCCTCAAGTCAGGGGTTCAGGGCAGATAAGTCGCCTCACAAGTCAAGGAGACTGAATAACACCAGAAAATTATAGTATTCTCCATCTTCCTCTTCCAGACGACTGTATCCACTCATCTCCTCCCTCTCTAGTTTTCAAACTTTTGCCCTCCCTCCAACAGGGTTTTTTCTCTCTCAACCACTAACAGTTTTGGCAAAAGTCCTAAAAAAAAAAAAAAGGAACTACTTCAAACTCTTTCCCTCATGCTGCATCACCTTCACTCTTATCTGTTACCTGACAAGACTCCTCCTGTTTTCCCTTTCTACTCTTTGAAATTTAGCTTTTAAATTTCCACTACCTCTTCCTCCCCATATCCTACTACAATTTTTGGTCTTGATTTTTTTCTGGTACTCGGTTGAATTAAACACATTTCTACAAAATCGCGTGTTGCTTCTACGTCTTTTGCTACCTCTACACAAGTCCTTCCTACTCCTCTTTTCAGAACTGTCTGGGTTTCCTTCCAGCAAGCTGCGGGAGGTTCGCTTTCAGCCCACGCGGTTCTAGCCGCCCTTTCCTTACCTGACTGCTCCGCGCTTCAGCCTCTGGGCGGAGTCCCAGCTGAGCCTGCGGCGTTGAATGCGGCTGGAATTTCGTCTGGGAAGGGGCGGGCCCTTAGACTACTAGGAAGGGTTGGACCTCCGCGGCTTCCGTCGTGGAGAGGTTGCGGAAGAAGGTACTGGGGCTGGGGTCCTGGAACCGTGCTCCGGGATTTGGCTAGAGATGGAGTTCGACTGCGAGAATGTGAGACGGCTGCTAGGCAAGGTGTGGGCAGCCTGCTGGGCTGAGTCTGGGACTCGGGGATCGGGAGGGAGGGTGTCACCGCCCCTGACCGGGCTGCCGCGCCTCGCGTTACTCGGTTTGGAGCTGAGACCCACTGGTCTGAAGCCGGCTGTGAGCAGCGACCCCTGGGAGGCCACGGGATCTGAGGCCACCTTGCCCCACCAAGGCCTGGGCTTTCGCTCTACTCACTGCTCCCCAGTTTCTACCCGCAAGAGTGCTTCTCAGCTACGGTCTTTGCTGGCCTCAAACAGCCCCAGCACACACTGTCCCTGTGATCACGCCTTTTTGCTGAAATGGCCTGCTCTTTTTCCTCATCCTTTTTAAGACTCAGGCACTGCTGGAAGTCTGACTCACTTCTTCCTCTCATCTGCTTTCAAAAACATGTTACCACTTTGTGGAGTAATTATTTACAATTTTTTCTACTGTTGTGAGCTCTTTTGAAGGCAGGCACTGCGCTTTTTTGTATGCCCTTCACCTAGCGCTATGCCTGACAGCAGCATAGATGCTGAATAGCTGAATGATAGACCTGAGTAGATACAAGTATGAAGACAGAGCCCAGGAAAGATCCTTTTAATGTTGAAAGGTTGAGGATGGGAGGAGTGATCCAGAAATCTGGTGCCTGACTAGTGTGAGTTTCCAGTGAGAAGATTAAAGGCACCACTGACCTCTTAGACCCCACCAGTTAGCAGTCTGAGAAAATTCTCATTTTCAGGAGTGTCCTCCTTAAGTGATTCTTAATATTTCCCTGTGCAGAAGTCATACACATAAGCTATTTTGTTGAACCTGCCTGACTTCTCTTTTGCGGGGGCATTTTGCACACCTCTGGGAGGTTTTGAAGCCCCAAGACTAAAATTATTTATGTAATTAATTTGAATGAGTTTATTTATTGTGAAAGATGTAAATCTTTTAGGAAGAGAAGTATCATCATTCTTAAAATTACTACCCTTTCTGTCCCCTCTTTGGAGAATGTTAAATTAAAAGAACCAGTCTACCAAGTTATTCTGTTGTTTGGTTGGTTCCCTTCCTGGAGGATTGAACCCAAGGTGCTTTAAGCCGAGCTACTTCCCTAGCCCCTTTTTGTTTATTTATTCTTTGGGGGTACTGGGAATTGAACCCAGGGGATTTTGACCATTAGGCCACATCCCCAGTCCTTTTTACTTTTTATTTTTGAGACAGGGTCTTTCTAGGTTGTTTTAGGACCTTGCCAAGTCGCTGAGGTTGGCCTCAAAACTTACCATCAGGATCCTGCTTCAGCCTCTCAGGTTGCAGGAATTACAGGCGAGCCACCACAGCTGGCTTCTTTTTACTTTTTATTTTAAGACAGAGTCTGGCTAAGTTGCCCTGGTTAACCTCTAACTTGGGATCCTCCTGCCTAGGCCTCCGCAGTAGCTGGAATTATAAGGGTGCAACACCATGCCTGGTACTACCAAGTGTTAATGTGGGGAGGATGATCAATGTCCTCTATGGGAAGAATTGTTTAAAAAAAAGCTTTGGTTGAACTGGAACAAAGGAAAATGGAGACAAAGATTTTCTTAAGGGTGGAAGTAAAATAGAGGAATTTATTATTATTATTATTATTATTATTATTAGACTCAGTTCCTCAAGAAGGCCTTTCTGTAATTTGGATATGCTTTATGTTGACTGATAATTTCCTGCCTCTACTTACTATTTGCATTCATATTTTTTTAATATCTCATTTTTACATGTTAATTATGAGATCCTCATGCATACTATTGAAGAAGCTGATAGGCAGTTAAGTTATATCTTTTTTTTTTTTTTTTTCCTTGATACTGGGGATTGAACTCAGGGGCACTCAACCACTGAGCCACATCCCCAGCCCAATTGTGTATTTTCTTTAGAGACAGGGTCTCACTGAGTTGCTTAGCTCTTCGCTTTTGCTTAGGCTAGCTTCAAACTTGCAATCCTGCCTCAGCCTCCTGAGCCACTGGTATTCAGGCACGTGCCACCATGCCTGGCCAAGTATATCTTTTTTAAATTAAAAAAAATTCTTTTTAGTTATATACAATACCAGAGGACACCCTGACATAATCACAAAAGCATGTAATACAACCCACTCCAATTCAGTCCCCAGCACTGCCTTCCCCTGTCTTCCCTCCACTCCAGAAATCTCTCTTTAAACTATTTACGGTTTACTTTTTTTTTTTTAATTAGTGTCCTGTGGATATACCCAATGCTGGGACCCACTGTGCCACATCCATGCATGCACATATAAAAGTTCAGTCAGATTCATTCCACTGTTCTTCCCTTTTCCTTTTCACATTCCACTGTTCTTCCCTTTTCTTCTTTTAATCCCCTTCATCTATTCTAATGATATTTCCTCATTTTGATGAAATTCCTTCTCCCTTTTTCTTTTTTCTCTTTTCCTTTTCTTTTTTAATCTCTCTCTGATACCTTATTTTGAATTCCCTTCTGCATATCAGAGAAAACATTCAACCTTGGACTTTTTTTTTTTTTTTTTTGAGAGAGAATTTTAATATTTATTTTTTAGTTTTCGGCGGACACAACATCTTTGTTTGTATGTGGTGCTGAGGATCGAACCCGGGCCGCACACATGCCAGGCGAGCACGCTACCGCTTGAGCCACACACCCAGCCCTTTGGACTTTTTTTAATTGCTATAAACATTGATGTGGCTGCAACACTGCAGTATGCTGATTTAAATCTTTGGGATATATACTAAGGAGTGGGATAGCTGGTTCATATTGCTGGTTTCATTACTAGTTTTCTAAAGAATCTCCATAATGCTTCCAGAGTGGTTGCACTAATTTGCTCTCCCATCAACAGTGTATGAGTATACCTTTTTCCCCACATCCTCACCAACATTGTTATTTGTATTCTTTTTTTCACTTTTTTATTTGTTCTTTTTAGATATACATGACAGTAGAGTGCATTTTGACATACATGCATGGAATATAACTTATTCTAATTAGGATCTCATTCTTGTGATTGTACATGATATGAAGTTTCACTGGTCACGTATATTCATACATGAACATAGGAAAGTTATGTCTGATTCATTATACTGTCTTTCCTACTCTCCTCCTTACTTCCTTCCATTCATTCCCCTTTGTCTAATCCAATGAACTTCTGTTCTCTACCCTCACCATATTGTGTGTTAGCATCCACATATCTGAGAGGACATTTGTCTTGGTTTTTAGGGATTGGCTTATTTTACTTAGCATGATAGTCTCTTAGATCCATCCATTTACTGGCAAATGCCATAGTTCCATTCTTCTTTATGACTGAGTAATATTCCATTGTGTATATGTTCCACATTTTCTTTATCCATTCATTTGCTGAAAGGCACTTAGGTTTGTTCCATAGCTTGGCTCTTGTGAATTGATGTGGCTGCATCATTGTAGTATGCTGATTTTAAGTCCTTTGGGTATATACTGAGGAGTGGGCTAACTGGGGCAAATAGTAGTTCCATTCCAGGTTTTTAGAGGAATCTCCATACTGCTTTCCCGTGCACCAGTTTGCAGTCCCACCAGCAATGTATGAGTGCACCTTTTTCCTTACATCCTCGCCAACATTTATTATTCTTGATAACTGCAATTCTGACTTGAGTGAGATAGTTTTGAGTTAAATTTCCTAATTGCTAGAGATGTTGAACATTTTTTCATATTTTGTTGACCATTTGTATTTCTCCTTTTGAGAAGTATTTGTTTAGTTATTTATTTATTTTTGTGTGTTACCTTTTTAGTTTGTTGTATATTTTGAATGTTAATGTCCTATCTGAGGAGTAGGTGGCTGTTGTATATTTTGAATGTTAATGTCCTATCTGAGGAGTAGGCAGCAAAAATCTTCTACCATTCTCTAGGCTCTCTTTTCATGCTTTTGTTACCTTTGCTGTTCAGAAGCTTTTCAATATGACACAATCCCACTTATTGATTTTTAATTTTATTTCTTGCACTTTAGGAGTCTTGTTAAGGAAGTCAGTTCCTGTGCCAACATACTGGAGTGTTGGGCCTACATCTTTAGCAGCTGCAGGGTTTCTGGTCTAATTTTGGGTTTCATCCCAGGGATGCAAGGTTGGTTCAACATATGGTAATCAGTAAATGTAATTCACCACATAAACATATCAACCTCAAGAATCACATAATTACCTAAGTAGATGCAGAAAAAGCATTCGACAAAGTACAGAATCCATTCGTGTTTAAAACACTAGAGAAATGAGGCATAGAAAGAACTTACTTCAACATTGTAAAGACTATAAATGATAAACCTAAGGCCAACCTCATACTGAATGGAGAAAAACTGAAAGTATTTCCTCTAAAAATAGGAACAAGAAAAGAATACCCACTTTCGCCACTGCTATTCAAGATAGTCCTTGAAACTCAGGCAGAGAAGGAAATGAAAAGGATACAAATAGGAAAAAAAGAGTTCAAATTTTCTCTGTTTGCTGACAACATGATCCTATATTTAGAAGATCCAAAAAACTCCACCAAAAGAATTCTAGAGCTCATCAATGAATTCAGCAAAGTAACAGGATACAAGGTCAACACTCATAAATCAGTCGCATTTCTGTACTCCAATGAGGAATCTGCAGAAAAAGAAATTAGGAAAATAATCCCCCCTTCACAAAAACCTAAAAAAAAAAAACCTCTTGGGAATCAATCTAACACAAGAGTGAAGGATCTCCACAGTGAAAACTATAGAATATAAAGAAAGAAACTAAAGAAGACCTTAAAAGATAGGAAGACTTCCCATGTTGTTAGGTAAAATTAATATTGTTAAAATGGCTACCAAAAGTACTACACTGATTCAACACAGTCCCCATCAAAATTCCAATGACATTCTTCACAGAACAAGAAAAGGAAGTTCTGAAATTCATTTGGAAAAATGAAAGAACCCAGTATAGCCAGAGCAATCCTTAGCAAAAAGAGTGAAGCAGGAGGCGTCACAATACTGGACCTCAAATTATACTTCAGAGCTATAGTAACAAAAATAGCATGATATTGGCACCATAACAGGCATGAAGATCAATAGAATAGAAGACATAAAGATACACCCACATATATACAGTTTTCTTGATACTAGACAAAAGCACCATAAACATACAGTGGAGAAAAGATAGTCTTTTTAACAACCAGTGCTGGGAAAACTGGAAATCAATATGTAGAAGAATGAAATTTAACTCCTATCTCTCACCCTGCACAAAAGTCAACCCAAAGTGCATCAAAGACCTAGACATTAGACCCAAAACCCTGTAACTGCTAGAAATCTTTTTTACTAATGAAAAATTTAAGGCTCAGAGAAGAAACAAGATCCATTAACAGTCATTCCCCACTTTCTCTCAATCTCCCCCAATCCTAAACATACACTAATCTATTTTCAGTTTCTATGGATTTGACTAATCTGAATATTTCATATACATAGGTCATATGATGTTTGATCTTTTGCACTGGATTTCCTTCGCTTAGCATAATGTTTTCAAGGTTCATCCATGTATCAGTACTTTGTTCCTTTAATGACTGAGTATTCCACTTTATGAATTTATCCACATTTTATTGGATAAATCCATCAGTTGATGGGCATTTGGATTGTTTTTGCTATTATGAATGAAGCTGGTATGATCAATTATATTCCATTATTTATGTGGATATGGTTACATTTTTCTTGGGTACATACCTAGGAGTGGAATTTCTGGATCATTTGATAACTCAATATTTAATATTTTGAAGAGCAGTTCTCACTGCTTTTCTAAAGTAGCAACACCATTTTATCACTAGCAGAGGTGTATTTGTATGGAAGTTCTGATTTCTCCATATCTTCTCCAATGCTTGTTACTATCTCATTTGGATTATAGCCTATCTTGATAAGAGCATGAATCCTTCAGCTTTCTTGTTCTTTTTCAAGACTGATTTGACCATTCTGAGCCCCTTAAATTTCCATATGCATTTTAGAATCAGTTTGCAAATTTTTATTTTAAAAAGCTAGCTTACATTTTGATAGGGATTGTGTTGAATCTGTTGGAGAATATTGCCATTTTAATAATAATCTAATCCACAAACATGGGATGTCTTTCTATTTATATAGGTCTATTTTATTTCTTTCAACAAGGTTTTCTGTTTCAATTTTGTACCATGTTGAATTTATTTCTAAGTATTTTATTTACAGAATATTAATATATCCTCTCTTTTTTTATTTCACTTAATCCTTTCACAAGTCTCAGGAGTGGGTATTATTTCTCTTTGCAGAATAAGTTCAAAGAAATGAAATGATTTTGCCCACAAGGTAACCAAGATAGTATTTCTGGGAGGACTTCTTCATAAATGAGGAGGTAGTTCACTTAACATAACAGTAAATGCTTGCATGCTTTTGTTTTCCCTTTGTTTTTGTTTTGTTTTCTTTTATATTTGATATTAGAGATTGAACATTTGGGTGCTTTACCACTAAGCTAGATCTCCATTTCTTTTTATTTTGAGACAGGGCCCCTTTTAAGTCAGGCTGGCCATGAATTTGCGGCACTCCTGCCTTCGCCTCCTAAATTGCTGGGATTACAAACATGTGATATCATGCTGGCTTGTTTTCCCTTGAAACCCAGGATGCAGGTCAAGAAGTATGGGATGCGAAATCATGTCTCAAGTGAATGAAGTATTCAGAAAAGAGAAGTGGATCTTGCAGTACAGGAGAATGAACCCAGGAGCACTTTACCTCTGAGCTGTATCTCTAGCCCTTTTTATTTTGAAACAGGGTCTTTCTAAATCACCCAGGCTAGCCTGGGATTTCTAATCCTCCTCCCTCACACTCCTGAGTTGCTGGGATTATAGGCATGTGATATTCTGCCTGGCTGACAACTGGATCTTGAATAGTGGTGATAGGTAATTCTTTCTGCCCTATCTCTTTTAGACTTCAGAAGATATTTGGAAGTGGTTTGATTTAGTAGTTAAAGGCCCAAGTCCCGGCTTTGAGCTCTGGCTTCAATATTTTACTTGCTATCTGACTCAGCAAATTACTTTACTTCTCTAGATTTCCCTTTCTTCTATAAAATAGAGCAGTTGTGCTGGGTGCATTGTCCAGTGATTTGGAAGGCTGCTGCAAGAGAATCCCTAGACACCAGCCTTGGCAATTTACCAAGACCCTGTCTCAAAACAAAAAATAAAAAGGGCTGGGATGTAGCTTAGTGGTAAAGTGCCCCTGGGTTTAATCCACAGTACTGCAAAAGAAAAGGCAGGGAAAAAGAGCAGTTGTAAGCCCAACTACTTCTTAGGGTCATGACTGGATCAGCATTCATGTTTATAATGTTCTAGGGCCTAGCATGTAGTAAATGTTCAGTTAAGTGTTAGTTGTAATTGTTTTCTTACTCATAGATTAATTTTTATTACATGCTCATTTTTTTCTTCTCAGTACAAGTTCAGGGATCTAACTGTGGAAGAACTAAAGAATGTAAATATGTTTTTCCCACATTTCAAATATTCCATGGATACCTACGGTAAGAATAATATTCTCTAATTTTTGCTGCCTTCTTTGAACTATTAATTTCTTGATCCTAAAGAACAGTAAAAATCATAATTTTTAATTTCTTTTTCTGATTTTTAACCACTTGTGATTTGAGGTCTGAGGAAATTTAAGTTAATTCAATACAGTGTGTTTTGTATTAGTTTTTCGCCCCCCAAAATTGGGGATTGGATCCAGGAGCACTTTACCACTGAGCCACATCCCCAGCCCTTTGAGATAGGGTCTTGTTAAGCTGTCAAGGTTGGCCTCCAATTTGGGATCCTTCTGCCAAAACCAGCCTCTGGATTGCTGGGATTACAGAATTGCCCACAGGCCTAGCTTTGAGGTTTTTTGGGGGGTGAGGTGGAGGTATGGTTGGTACTGGGGATTGAACCCAGGGGTACTTTACCATTGAGCTACATCCCCAACCCTTTTTATTTTTCAGTTTGAGAAGAGATCTCCCTAAGTTGCTTAGAGTCTTGCTAAAATAAATTACTTAGGGCCTCGATAAGTTGCTGAGGCTGGCCATGAACTTTTGATTCTTCTACCTCAGCCTCCCAAGTCACTGGGATTACAGCTGTGCACTACTGCACCTGTGTGTTATATTTTTATTGCTACTATAACAAATTAAAACTTACTGGTTTTAAAAAAACACGAGTTTACTATATTACGGTTTGTAGGCTAGAAGTCCATTAAAATTTTCTGTAGCTTATAAGTTTAACTGAGTTCCAATAAATGAGTCATCAGGTCTTTTTCCTTCGTGAACAATGTGGGTGGGGGCTACTTTTTCTTTCCCTTTTTCAGTTTCTAGAGGTAACCCAAATTCCCTGACTCTTGGTCTCCTTTCTCCATCTTCAAAGCCAGCAATGTTGCAAAGCCAGCATTCTTCCGTAGGCAAATCTCCCTCTAACTGCAGCTGGTAGAGGTTCTCTGTTTTTAAGGACCAATGTGATTAGATTAGACCTACCCCAATAATGCAGGATAATTGAACCTTCTCAGAGTCCCTATTTTAATCACATTTAATAATTTGAAGAATGAATATTCACACATTTCCTCTAATGCATTTCTAGATTATTCTGTGTCCTTGAGTAATAATCCCTGTTCCATTCCTCTTTCCATTTTAGTTTTTCATGGATTGATGCCTTCACCCATTGTTACTTTCACTTATATAGTTCAGGGTTACATTTGTACTTACATACTGTCTTGTCCTTGAGTTTTCTGACAGCCTGTGTTATAGTCTAAATGTTTGTAAACCCCCCCATTCATATGTTAAGTTCTGATCACCAGGTGATAGCATTAGGAGGTGGGGCCTTTGGTAGGCTCTTTGCAAAAGTCCTCATAAATAGGATTAGTGCCCTTATTAAAAGCAGCCTGAGAAAGACTCTTGCCCTTCCACTATATATGGGCACAGTAAAAAGACTGCTGTCTGTGAATCAAGAAGCAGGCTTTCCCCAGAAACCAAATCTGCCAGCACCTTGATTTTGGATTTCCCAACCTCTAGAATTGTGAGAAATAAATTTTGTTCTTTAGAAGCTTCCCAGTTTATAGTAGTTTGGTATAGCAGCCAAAACAGACTAAGACAGCCTGGTTTTCTCTTTCCCTTTTCTTTTCTTTTTTTTTAATTTTTTTTTATTAGTTGCTCAAAACATTACAATGATCTTGACATATCATACATTTGATTCAAGTGGAGTATGAATTCTTTTTTTTCCACGTGTACAGATTGCAGTATCACATTGGTTTTATAGCCACGTTTATACATACAGCCATATTAGTGTCTATTGTATTCTGCTACTCTTCCTATTCCCCTCTTTCCCTTTTCTTATAAGTCATCAAAATCTATCTAGAATTTTTTCTTCCTCTATGGAAATAGTACAGTTACTATTGAGATGTTAAAAGGATTGCTTTCCAGTGCAGTTTGATTGTTTGAAACCCTAGAGAGTGGTCTTGGTATTTAGTCCTGAGATTAGGACATTGATTCTTCACATGTGTCCCAGTTATTGATGGGAAAGTTGAAATTTCAGGGACGTAAATATTGAAAAAAGGTTGAGAATAATGGATTTAAAGAAACTAAGAGAGATAATTATTGATTTTTCTAAAAGGTTGCTTTGAAAAGTAAAGCTAACATTGATTATAAAAGTGATTATAACTGATTTGTTACATGTGACAATTATTTAATTTATTACTTTAAATAATAAAATTCAATGTTTGTTTTTGGCACTGGGGATTAAACCCAGGGACATTTTACCACTGAGCTACATCCCCAGTCCTTTTTTATTTTGAGACAGGCTTTCACTAAGTTGTTTAGGGGCTAAGTTGCTGAGGCTGCCTTGAAGTTGCAATCTTCCTCAGCCCCCTGAGTTGTGGGACTACAGGTATGCACCACTGTGCCCATCCATCCCTACATTTTATAATACTTTGATTCTTATTAAGGGTTTTCACATCTTACATGAGCCTTATGACAGCTTCATGATGCAGATATCTTTATTTTATAGATGATAAAACTGAAGATCAGAGAGATTAAAGTAGCTGAAAGTCACACAGGCCTCTAAGAGGGGAGGTGGGTCTAAAACTTGGGATTTTAGTATCAAAGTTCTGTGTTTTTTTTTTTTGTGTTTTTTTTCAGTTGCCCTCACTACTAAGTAAACAATATCTAGTAATTATCCCCTTGTTGTCATATATGTACTGATCCTGGTATTTAGAGATTGTGGATGTGTGTGGATGTGCATTTATATACTTTAATATAATTCTTTCTACTTCTGATTTTACATTTTGGCACTTTTTTTCTTCCAGTTTTTAAAGATAGTTCCCAGAAAGACCTGCTGAATTTTACTGGTACTATTCCTGTGATGTATCAGGGTAAGTATGGGAAGAAAGAAAATGTGGGAGTTTTCTAAAAGAGCAGTTCATTTAAACTTACACAAACTTACATTTGTTCATGCCATAACATTCTCAAAGTATTTCCACATAAGAGATCTATTTAGAACCTCACTGGATCTGACAGGATTCTGTCCTAGTCAAGGAAGACCTAGATTAAACTTTTTTTTTTAATATTTATTTTTTAGTTTTAGGTAGATACAATATCTTTATTTTATTTTTATGTGGTGCTGAGGATCAAACCCAGTGCCTCACATGTGTTAGGTGAGCACTCTACCACTTGAGTCACAACCCCAGCGCCATAAATTAAACTTTAATTCAACAATTACTTATTGTCAACTATGTGCCCATGACTCTAGTAGGTTCTGGGTTATAGAACAGAGCAAGACAGCTAGGGGTGATGGTACATACCTGTAATGCCAGCAACTGGGGAAACTGAGGCAGGAGGATTGCAGGTTTGAGGCTAGCCTCAGCAATTTAGCAAGACCCTGTCTCAAAAAAAAAAAAAAAAATCTTAAAAGAGGCTAGGGACATGAAAATCCTGTGGTACAGAGTTCCTGAGTTCAATATCTCAGTATGAAAAAAAAAAAAAAAGAAGAAGAAGAAGAAAAAAAAAAACAATGAAAAGAGAATTTAGACAGACATGGATCTGCCCTTGGGATGAGTGATTTCTGTTTTCCATAAGAAAATGTAGGAATCTCACCTTCTTCTCCTTATAACTCTGTGTTGTTTTTTGTTTGTTTGTTTAGTTTTTTCTTCTCTTCCTCTTCCTTTTATATGATGTAGCATTATTCCCATTCCATAGGTGAAACTGAATCTTAGTCTGCTCAAGTGATTTACCTAAAACCACCTGGTACTGTTATACAGACTCCAATGTTTTTGAAACACAGGGGTAAACATTTTAGGATGACCTGACAGGCTAAAATAGTTAAGTATTTGCCCAAAAAGAAAAGGAAAAAAAAAAAATCACTAACTTCTATAGTTAACTGTTGTTTGTCTAGACCTACTCTGTTCAAAATGGCTAGCCTTTTAGTATCATTGGAGATTGCTTATATATGTGCTTTGAATAACAGCAATGAAGCTTTAGTTCCAAAATATTTCTCTGAAGTGGCACCCAAAATTCCATCATTAAAAAATTAATAATTTTGAAATGCAAATCATCACAATAAGAAAAATATCCCAAAGTACTAATGTACAGTGCTGTGGTTATTAGAAATTCAGTAAATACTTGTGGAATGATTGAGTTAGTTTACTTGATTACTGACTAAAGGGTTTAGGAATAAATGAGCTTAGTAGCATTTGAAAGAGGAGGTGCACTGAACAGAGAAGGAAATGGAAACCAAATAAGATCAGAACAGTGGAGTTTACTGTCTCTGGAAAGGGTTCAGCGTTGTAAGATGGGAATATATTTCCCAAAAGACAATTTTGGGAGACTTCTTTCAAGGTTGGTACTTGTAGCTCCTAGACGATCATAATTCCTTAATTACCCTCTTCCTCTATGATGACCAAGAGGTACATTCATATTTTGTTCTTCCTCTGTATATGTTTCACCATTGACATTTCCTTTGGCACTGGGTAGGCATTCAGGAAATGGATAGGAATTCAGTTTGTTTTAATGCATAGCTGGTAATAAGTAAAAGTAGCCATTCTTGTCCTGAGCAGCATGTTCAAGTACAGTGAAAGATATGTGCAATAGAACTATGAAAACAGGAATAAATTTTTTAAAAATAATAAAATCAATAAAAAAAGAATACAGGAATAAATATTGAGATATAATAATGTTCTACGCTGGCTAAGGTAATTTATTAGATTTCTAGTCTAAGTTTAGTTTTCACTTACACTGAGTTTGGCTTTGAGCTTCCTGGCAACTAAGGCAGTAAGGGTTATTTGGCTCTTGGTAGACATGTTCTATGTTGGAAGAGCATATGTTCAAGTGGCGGAGTCAGGGGATGAAGGAAGAGAGATTGAACCCAGGGGCACTCAACCACTGAGCCACATCCCCAGTTTTTTTGTATTTTATTTAGAGACGAGAGTCCACTGAGTTGCTTAGGGCCTTGCTAAATTGCTGACGCTGGCTTTGATCCTCCTGTCCTTAGCCTCCCAAGTTGCTGGGATTACAGGCATGAACCACTGTACCCAGCTTCCCCCTTGTATTAAATAGTTTATTTTCTTTAATACAAGTGCTGGGAGTTGAACCCAGAGCCTCATTGATGCTAAGCAAGCTCTGTACTATTGAGCTATGCTCCATGACCAATTAAGTAGACTTTTTAAAAAGAAAATCTCATTGTAGTTATCATTTACAGACCTTTCTCCTTCTGTAAAGAATACTGCAAAAGGGGTGTTTTTTATTTGTTTGGTTTTGGGGTTTTTGTATTTTTAGTTTTCCAACAAATGCATAGGCCATTTGCATCAAAATCTTTGGAGTATGTATGTGTGGACATGGATATTATTTAAACGCACACACTTTGGAGCCTGATCCCATGTCTAAATAAATCTCAATCTCTGGAGATAAGTCCCAAGAATATGCATATTTTCCAAGTTCTTCAGATAATTCTTATGTTCACTAAAATTTAAGAATACTGGGTAAGGTGACTCTTAAGATTATTTTCAGCTCTATGTTCTATATGTCTAACTCAGCGTATGGGATATTATATCTGCAATTTTTTAGCTCATTGAGGGCAAATATCAAACTCCAGTTAGTCATTCATTAATTTTTTTCATTTGTTCATTCTGATTCATAAGAAACATTTATTAAGCAGGTAGTATGTTATGTACTGTATTTGGTGCTGGGGATATAGAAATGAATGAAACATGAATTCTTTCTAGAAGTTTACAATGTAATAAATACAGCCTGGTAAGTGAATAATCTCAGTATAGAATAAATACAAAGAGAGATATCCAATACCTTTCAAGGAAGGTACAATATTTGTTTTGGTTGGACAAAGAAAATTACATAGAAAAGATGTATCCCAAACTTCTTGTATAGTAGAACCTGTAAATATTGATTGAATTAAATTGGATGAGCTGGCCATTGTCTTAATTTCCTCATGTTATGTTAGTGCTTTAACAGGAACATATTTCCAATGTGCATGAAATGAGGGAAATAGATCTTGATTTATTTTAATCCTTTGTATGTAAACTTGACTTAACTACCTATTTCTTAAAAATGCCACCTTGTTGTATCATAAATATGATGTGTATGCTTCTTATTTTTGCTTATTTTATCTCCAATAGGTCATACATATAACATACCAATCCGTTTCTGGATTTTGGATTCTCACCCTTTTGCTCCCCCCATTTGCTTCTTGAAGCCAACTGCAAATATGGGAATTTCCATTGGAAAACATGTGGATGCACAAGGCAGAATATACTTACCCTATCTCCAAAACTGGAGCCATGTAAGATCAATTTGGATTTTCTTCAAAGTTTTTATTTTTTTCTGAATATTTGCCTTTGATTCTGATAGTCAAAATAAGCATACTACTGTATTTACTTCAATTACATTCTTCATATGATCTTTAAAGTAATTTAAAATTGAGTTCTCTAGGATCAGCCAAGTCCCAGAATACTGATGACAAAGGCCTATACAAAGCTGCTGTCTCCAGGTCCAGGAGCCAGCTGTCATTTACCCCTTGTCTTTTTATAGTTGTTTGCTAATTGAGAAAGCACATGAAAAGCTTCTAGCAGGATGTTGGAGACTTATTTCCTACCCCCACCCTATTAAAGATTTTTATGTAATATATATATATTTATTTGTGATTTTGCCTGTTTTTAACCTTTATGTATGTTTGAATCATACCATATGTAATCTTCTGTGACATGCTTTGTTTTAATTGAGCAATAATTTTTTTGTTGTTGTTTTGTTTTATAGTGCTGGGGACTGACTCCAGTACATGTTAGGCAAGTGCTGTACCACTGAATTACATCCATGACTTGAGTATGAGGTTTTAAACTTCATCTTTATTGATATATAATTGTAGCTTATTTATGTTTTGCAAGTCCTCACATTATGCAGTTTTGTATTCTCCATTTTTTCATTAATCATTATATTGAACATTTCTCCCATGTTTATCTTTTCAAAGTACATGGTTTTTAATGGTTCTTTGATGATCCAGCATGAAGATATTTACATAATACATTTCAAAATTGCCATATTACAAGAAATTTAATGATGAATATACTTAAATATAATATATATATTTAAAAATTTCCTAATGATAATCTCTAGGAGTAGAATTATTGGGTGAAAATTTTTAAATATTTTAAAGGATTTCTTCTATATTGCCAAATTGGCCTTCAAAAATGTAAACAAAATGTTGGTTTTCTGCTATCAATAGCAATGAGTGTAGAAGGGCACCAATTTCGTTTTATCCTTGCTCTAATAGGAGATATTATCATTAAAACAAAATAAACCTTTGCTTATCTCTATATATTGGGTTAGGCAGATAGATGTACAGTATACTGTCACTTATAACTAAAAATTTTATGAAAGAATGATTTGTAATATATTTATATGTACCCAGAAAGTTGTAGAATTTTAGGATCAGAGTTGAATGAGGTTATAGTAAAAAACGTCATTTGGGAGGCTGGGGTTGTAACTCAGTGGTAGTGCTTATCTCACATGTGTGAGGCACTGGGTTCAATCCTCAGCACCACATAAAGATAAATAAATAAAATAAAGGTATTGTGTCCATCCACAACTAAAAAAATTTTTAGGGGCTGGGGATGTGGCTCAAGCGGTAGCACGCTTGCCTAGCATGCGTGCGGCCCGGGTTCGATCCTCAGCACCACATAGAAACAAAGATGTTATATCTGCTGAAAACTAACTAACTAAATAAATAAATATTAAAATTCTCTTTCTCTTTAAAAAAAATTTTTTTTAAATGGCATTTGGTTTCTCACTTTTGTGTTATAGATAATTGTGAAAACGGGTAATTATGGACATATTTTACTTTATTTGTATATTTTTCTATATTTTGCACATATAAAACCTTTAAAAAAGAAGAAAAAATAGAAAAAGGAAGAACATACACCAAATTATCAGGAGCAGAGCCGACTTCTATATGAACTTAATTTGCTATTTGCATTACTTGATGATTACTAAATAAGATTTCCAGTTAAATGTGATGAATGGATATAATAAAAATTAGATAATTTGTCTGGGGCTGGGGTTGTGGCTCAGTGGTAGAACACTTGCCTCACATGTGTGAGGAACTGGGTTCGATCCTCAGCACCACATAAAAATAAATAAACAAAATGAAGGTATTGTGACCATCTACAAGAGACAATTAAAAAAAATGGTGCCTGGATCTTAATTTTTTGTTATCCTGTTACTTGAAAAATTGAAATATTTTTCATATTTATCAATAATGTATATTCCTTCCTTTTTGAATTGTTTATCTTCTCATCAGTAATTACCAATTACCCCCTTTTTTTCTAACTTTGGTTTTTTTTTTTTTTTTTTTTTTGGTACCATATTTTTAACTCAGGGGCACTTAATCACTGAGCCACATCCCTAACCTTTTTGGCAGGGGGTGGTGGGGGGGTGGCGAGGAGAGGGGGTAGTACCAGGGATGGAATTCAGGGGCACTCGACCACTGAGTCACATCCCTAGCCCTATTTTGTATTTTATTTACAGACAGGGTCTCACTGAGTTGCTTTGAACTTGCAGTATTACAGGTGTGTGTTTGTAAACACACACCCTAGCAATACCCAGCTGCCACAGTCTGGCTGGGCACAAATGCCGCAGTCTGGCTGGGCACACAATCACGAGCCACCACACAGCTTGTAGATTCAAACAGCAACTCTTTATTCCCGAACTCACACCAGCCGTCTACAATCACGTTCTCGGGAAATCCACGTTCTCTGCCCAAATCCACCTTCTCTGCCCAAATCCACCTCCACTGGGCTTCTATCTCCAAAATATACTGTCTGAATCCCGTGAGAACTCAAGGGGAACTCAGGCAGCAGGATACGCCCTATTCCCAGGAGGAATAATCTTAAACCTTAAACCTGGAACCTAAACTGGGAACGCCCTAAACACGATTATCTTAAAACCGGGAACACCCTAATCTGCCTTGGTCCTTGAGCAAGGTCACCTACATTCAATGTCACTGCAACATGTCAGCAACATGGGGTACGCTGGCAAGGAAATTGTCATACCTACTTGGCTAATGGCTCCCAGCACCCAGCCTTTTTTATTTTTGATTTTGAGACAGGATCTTACTAAGCTGCTTAGAGCCTCACTAAATAGATGAGGCTGGCCTTGAACTAGTGATCATCTTGTGTCAGTCTTCCAAATCATTGGGATTACAGTTGTGCTCCATCATATCCATATTGGCTTTTTTTTTTTTTTTTAAACACTGGCGATTGAATCCAGGGTGCCACTGAGCCACATCCTCAGCCCTTTTTATTTTGGGACATAGTTTTGCCAAATTGCTAAGGCTGGCCTCAAATTTGTAATCTCCTACCTTATCCTTGTGAGACTCTGGGATTACAGGTATGCATTACCTGCCTTGAATTCCTTTTTTTTTTTTTTAAACTGTCTTCAAACCATATTTGGACATCTGTACCCTATTGCAAGAATTTATGTATCCTGCTTCTTCTGATTTTCTTTGACATCTTTTCATAGTTTTGTCTGTTTGCTTAATAGTGCTCAGTAATAGTCCTATAAGTTAGTTGAGGTTATGCTTGATTTCAGTTTAGGTGGAATTTATTTCATTTTATTATTTTGAGTCTCTTTATTATAAATTAAAACTTGTCTTTAAAATGTATTACATTATTTTAATCGCCCTGCTTAAAAGGACTATAGTAACTTTGAGTTCTGTATGCATTTAGAATTTTAACTATGGAGTATACTTTTTGTAGAATTTTGGAGATAGAAGGAATCTAGAAGGATTGCAGACAGTTTCCCCAAAGAGATTCAGAGGACTACAGTAAGCCTACAGAATTTTTTTTTTAGTCTTTTTTTTTTTTATTGGTTGTTCAAAACATTACACAGCTCATGACATATCATCTTCCATACATTTGATTCAAGTGGGTTATGAACTCCCATTTTTTACCCCAAATACAAGTTGCAGAATCACATCGGTTACACATCCACATTTTTACATAATACCATATTAGTGACTGTTGTATTCTGCTACCTTTCCTATCCCCTACTATCCCCCCTCCCCTTCCCTCTCATCTTCCCCCTCTACCCCATCTGCTGTTGTTTAATTCTCTCCCTTGTTTTTTTTTTTTTCCCCTTTCCCCTCACAAACTCTTATATGTAATTTTGTGTAACAATGAGGGTCTCCTTCCATTTCCATAGTTTCCCGAAGAGCACAGTGGTTTTCTTTTACTTTGTTTTTGTTCTGCATATAAATTTGAATTTATATAGGCAGGCTGCTTCTAGTTTGCCATAATAACAATCTCTCCAGGTTTTCTTTTACTTGGCAGCTTCACACATTTAATGTTATCTGGTTGGTCCTTGAAGGTATTTGAATTTTTTACCCTAATGGGCTCTTCTTAATTTATAAACAGTGAAACTCAAGTCTCTGAGAAATTAAGCACTTTTTAAATGAGCATTCTACTAAATATTCCTAATAATAATAGTAAACATCTATTTTACTCTCTTAGGTTACAGTTTCTATGCATTAGCTAATTTATATCTCCTAATAGCCACTTGAATTTATTATTCATATTATCTTACTGATGATGCTGAAGCTCAGAACAGTTAAGTGAATGACACCAAGGCTATTTAACTAGTTAAACTCAAAGAAAACATTATCAAATTAATTTTCTGATTTGATAATGGCTTTGTAGAAGAATGTCTTTTTTCCTTTTAAGAAATACACTCTAAAGGTTTTAGGGATAAGGAGATATCACTTCTGCAGTTTATTTTCATTTGGGCCAGAAAAAAGAGAAAGATATTAAGAAAATATATGTGATAAAATGTTAACATTTGAGTAACCTGGCAAAAGAGTGTATGTACTATTTTTTTCAACTTTTCTGTAAGCCTGAAATTATTTTGAAATAAACAGTTAAAAAAGATAGTTCCCAAACCTAGGTATTTTGCTGCTAGTATATTCATGCTATTTTCCTATGTTTTGAGAGTTGTCAATTTAGCTTTTTTTTGTTTTTTTGCCTTTTATTTTATAAACACATGGAGTATTTTCCATGAGATCTCTGGGAGGATACTACATGATAAGAGACTTTGCTTTTTTCAGTTAAAAGCATTAAAATAGTTAAATCATAACATAATTTGTACATAGTTTTGGAAAAATGAAAGCATGACAATACAGTTGATCTTTGAACAACATATGTTTGAACTATATGGGTTCACTCAGAGTTGTCTCTCTTTTTTTAACTTGCACCAATTTGAAAAAAACTTTCATATGAATCCTATAGACTGGAAATATTGAAAAGGTTAAGAAAAAGATGTGTCAATAATACATAAAATATACATAGGTAATAATCTGTTTTATTATTTATTAATGTTAAATTTACACCAATCTATTATAAAAGGTTAAAATTTATCAAGCTGGGTGTAGTGGTACATGTCTATAATCCCAACAACTCAGGAGGCTAAAGCAGGAGGTTTTCAAGTTCAAGCGCAGCCTGGGAAACTTAGTGGAGAACCAGCAACTTAGACCCTGACTCAAAATAAAAAAATAAAGGGGTGGATATGTAGCTCAGTGGTAAAGCACCCCTGGGTTCAGTCCCCACCAAAACCAAAACAAAAAAAGTTAAAAATTTGTGAAAACTTACTTATGTGCACATACAGATCATACATGGTGCCATCCAGATCATACATGGTACCATTGTATGTAACAACAATAAACAGACATAAATATGTAGTTTTAAATCATAACTGTATGAAGTTACCTGTGGTACCTTATGTATTACTGAATTATGGTAGCCTCCTCTTGGTGCTATTAAGGTACATTCATGTCACGGTTATCTGATTATCCACTTGAAATGCTGAATTATGTTAAAAATTTTAGTTTGTCTCTCCAATAAATTGTACATTATAGTAAAAAGTGATCTCTCATGGATCTTGTGTAATTTTTCATTGTATATAATAACTGTAGCATGCAAAATAAACATTAATTGAGTTTGTTATTGGTAAGGCTTCCAGTGAACAGGAGGCTATTAGCAGTTAAGGATTTTTTTATGTTTGGTGTTGGGAATTGAACTCAGGGCCTCATGAATGCTGGGCAAACTCTCTATCACTGAGCTACATCCCCAATCCTTTTTATTTTTTAAGATAGGATCTCCTAAATTGTTCAGTATGATCTTGAATTTCTAATCCTTCTCCCTCAGCCTCATGAGCAGCTGAGATTACATGCATGCACCACCATGCCTGGAAGTAGTTAAGTTTAGGGGGAGTCAAATTATACTCGAATTTTTAACTGTTCATGGGTTGGGGTCCCTATTCCAGTGTTGCTCAAGCGTCAACTGTATTTACTTTGGCTAATTCTATGCAATGTTAGGTTGAAATGGTAGTATTACTTAGCAAATTTTTGAGTAACTTTTACCTTTGTGTGTATTCTGCAGCCCAAGTCTGTCATTGTTGGATTAATTAAAGAAATGATTGCCAAGTTTCAAGAGGAACTTCCCCTGTATTCTCTATCGTCATCTGATGAAGCACGGCAGGTAGACATGCTAGCCTATATTGCAAAAATCACTGAAGGTTTGTATTTCTGTCAGATTGTCTTAAAAGTTATGAGTTTACAATTTCTTACTAATGACCTTTACTCTCTGCTATTTTAAATACATATGGACATTTATATGTTTATTTTTGTGTTCAATCAAAAATCCTATACATATATAATAAAGTTCCATACTGTTTCTTAAAATGTAAAAAAAAATTTACTCTTTTATGAACAGATAAAATATATAATAAAGTTCCATACTGTTTCTTAAAATGTAAAAAAAAATTTACTCTTTTATGAACAGATAAAATAGTTGTTGTTTCATTCAAAAACACTTGATATATAATAATCATCCCAAACCTTTTTTGTTATGTGTTTATGTAGTTCTTGTTTCATTCAGAATACTAGATCAGAAAATCTGTAATTCTCAATGTTTCTTATTGAGAATAAAACCACATATTCATGATTGGGAAATTTCAGTAGGGTACTAAACCTTTGTATTTTTTTTTTTTTTTTTAGTCTTATACAATATTTTTAAAAATATTTGGAAAGACACTTTCTTTTTAAAAGGATAGCCTCCATTTACTAGAATATTTAAAATAAGACTCATCTTTTTTATCAGTACAAGTATTACTAATTTAATGTAAATATACAATTTACATTAGAAATGCATATACTTTAAATGTGTGATAAAATTTGACTGTTTGATTTACCTTTGTAGCTATCACCAAAAACAATATGTAAAATCAATTCTTACATTTTTAGTTAATAGCTCCTCTTCTACAAGAAACTCTGATTTTTATAAGTCTTCTTTCATGTATTCATTTTTTTCAACAAGTATTTTTAAAAATTTTTTTTAGTTGTAGATGTACACAATATCTTTATTTATTTATTTTTATGTAGTACTGAGGATTGAACCCAGTGCCTTATGCATGCAAGACAAGTGCTCTCCTGCTGAACTACAATCCCACCCCTCAACAAGTATTTTTAAGTGCTTATTGTGGATTAACATCATGTTTTCTAAGTAACTGAAGTTTGGCGTTTTTTTAATTTTGGGTTTTTTGTTTGTTTGTTTAGTAATGGGAATTGAATCAGAATCACTTTACCACTGAGCCACATCCCCAATCTTTTTAATTTTTGAGACAGGGTCTTGACAAGTTGCTTAAGGCCTCACTCAGTTGCTGAGGCTGGCTTTGAACTTGCAATCCTCCTGCCTCAGCCTCCTGAGTGACTGAAGTTTTTTTTGTTGTTGTTGTTTTTATGTTATCTGTGTATGGAGGTGCACATTTGTAATCCCAGTGATTCAGGATTGCCCAAGGGATAGCGGGGGGGGGGGGGGGGGGGTGGGGGTTTTTTTTTTTTTTTTTTTCATTTTTAGCATCATCCACTTTTCTTGATAGGTGTCTCAGACATAAATTCAAAGAGTTGGACAAATTATGAGATTAAACCAGTCAATAAAATTACCGTGGTTGGAAATGGAGAGTTGGGTATTGCCTGCATCTTAGCAATTTCAGCAAAGGTATGTAAGCATAGTGGTTATAAATATATATATCATAGTGCTACACTTTTAGGCAGTTTTATTAACATTCAAAAAATAATGGTTTGGCTTGGCACAGTTGTAATCAAACAACTGGGGAGGCTGAGGCAGGAGGATCACAAGTTCAAGGCCAGCTCAGCAACTTTGTGAGGCCCTAAGCAACTTATTGAGATCCTGTCTCAAAATAAAAAATAAAAAGGTCTGGGGTGTAGCTCAGTGGTAAAATGTTCCTAGATTCAATCCTATACCACACAAATAAATAAATAAAAATTTAAAAAAGTAATGGCTTCGTTTTGTTATGTAGGAAAACCTCATTTTGCCTGAAAATATATTTTGTGACAAAAAAATAGCTGAAAGTTCTCATCAGTCATGTTGCCTCTTAATTAGTGTAAGTCATGGGTAGGCTTTGAAAAAGTAATTTGAATAATGCTGTCATCCTAATCTAAGGGAAACCTCAAAGTGACATTCCTGTGACTTAGACACAGATTATTTTGTGATTTTTGAGTCATGGTGTTTTAATTAAATTCTTATTTAATATTATATTTAATTTTAGCTATTTATAAAATTACCATTTTTAAAAAAGGACTGCCTTTTCTTATTTAATTGCTTTCTTTTGGGATCAGACTTTCTGAGTTAATATGTTACATTAGTTTATGTTTTGTTTTGTTTATATTCCTGTCAGTTCTTTTTTCTAAGTCTTTTCTAATTGTTTACATAAAGATCTAACTCCCAGTGAGGTAAAACAACTATCATGGTGATAGCATATCTGTAGTCTAGAAAACAGCTGTCACTATATGTTTATTTGGTGACTGTTTTTCTTTTTCTATAAAGTTTTTCTATTAAAATTTGATTATTTTGATGTCTAAATTCCTCCTTTTTATATCTTGAAGGTAGGTTCTATTTCAGGAAATAATCAAGTTAGAAAAATTTTAAAAGTTGACTGTTCAGAATAGCATATGCTGAATTTCCATATTATAGTTTCATTTTCCTTACCTGTTTTCCTCATCTGAGTACACTGTTAACTCTTAATTGGAATTTGAGTTGTTTTTACTTCTTTCGTTACTAAATAAAATACTTTTACATTACTTTGTAAAATAAATAAAAAGAAAATAAATATATAAAAATACTTCTTACACTACTTTGTAAGTTGCTTATTTTCTGACTTTCTTTTGGGTATACATCATCTCAAAAATAATACTAGTGAGTCAGAGGGTATGGATTGTTTTATGGCACTCTTATTTTAGTAGACTGCTCCTCAGAAAGGCAGAACTAATTTATGCTGCTAAGAATAGTGCATATGTCAACTGCTTTTTGACATCCCTATGGTATTAAGTTTTATTAATTTGGGAGAGGGGGCAGAGCTGCTGGGGATCAAACCCAGGAGTACTTTGGCACTGAGCTACATCCCCAGCCCTTTTTATTTATTTATCTTGAATAAGGGTCCTGCTAAGTTGCTTAGGTCCTTACTAAGTTTCTGAGGATGGCCTTGAATTTGTGATCCTCCTGTTTCAGCATCCCAAGTGGCTGGGATTACAACAAGTGTAATTTTTTTTTTTTTTGGTAATAATTTGACTTTTTTTGTTAAATACAGGTAGGCACCTTTTTAAAGTCATGTTTCCTTAACTGTTAGAAGAGTCATTTGTCTGTTAACTGTCTAGGTAAAACATTATTTTTTCTTTTTTAAACATCAGCATTTTGATACAAGGTATAATATTTAAATAATATATCAATAATAGCAGTCCAATAGTGGCAGCAGTAGTAGTAGTGATAGTAACAGCAGTAACTGACCTTTACTAAATGCTTACTAGATGCCAGGCACTTGTCTAAACACTTGTCTTGACTCATTTTTACAGTGACCCTATTGTTTAGATGCTGTTGTTTTCACCATTTTACAAATGAAGAAACCAAGGTTCGGGGAGGTTACCCACTTGCCCTAAGTCACACTATTAATAAATGGTGTCACCAGGATTTGAAAACAGGTTGTCTGTATGCCAGAACCTGTATTCTAGATCCTTACTGCTCAAAATATGGCTTTCAGACTAGCAATATTGGCATTTCCTTAAGATTTTGTTAGAAATCCATAATTCTACTTCTAATTCTGCATTTTAATAAAACCCCTGGTGGGATATATGCTTTACTGATTCATTATAAAGCTTGAGAAGCTCTTCTCTAAGCCACTATATTATACTGCTTTATGATAATTGCCCCCCCTTACTGGGATTGAACTCAGGGATGCTTTTCCACTGAGATCATCTCTAGCCCTTTTTCTTTAAAATTTTTTTTTTAGTGTGAAACAGGGTCTCATTAAGTTGCTGAGGGTATCTCACTAAATTGCTGAGGCTGGCCTTGAACTTGTGATCCTCCTGTCCCAGCCTTCCAAATTTCTGGGATTACAAAGTACCTGGCAAGAGTCATGATGAATATTTTAGTTGTTTTTAGTCATTTGAATATTCTTATACATAATATATAATTTTTTACATATGCTAATAAACTTGTAGGATAATTCCTATAAATGAGATTGATGGATTAAAGGAACTGTTAAATTTAGATTTTAAAATATTTTAAATTTTTGAAAGAAGTTGTCAAATTATTCCCTATATCAGTTGTATTAGTTTATTCTCACACCTACACTGTATGAGAATACCTGTTTTCCCACAACCTCTATTGTTAAACTTTTGGGCCTTAGTGTGTCTGATAAATAAAAATGGAAATGCTAGTTTTCCTGGCATTTTCCTTGTGAGTGTGGTTAACAATAAAAAAATTAATAGCTACAATTTAGAGAGGACTACTATGTATGTCAGTCCTATTATCAATCATATAGTCAGTCATATAATCAATCTTATAACCACATGCAGTAAGACTTGAGTTCATTGACTGTCCTAGTGTTACAAAGCTCACCTATAAAATAGTAGAGTTGTTTTCTTAACCATTTTTTTGCCTGAAAGTCTGGTAGATCTCTGGATACTTTTGCCCATGAACTCTCAGGTTTTCCTACTACTTTGGAGAAAGCCCTTCCACAAATATTAACTAACTCTTGGAGTTTCCATGCTGTTATTTATAGTCAGCCCACCAGGCCATCCAGGGAACCGTTATTAGGCATGTAGAATATTCCATGAGCTCTCTGAGGAGAGTACCACATGATAGTACAATTTGACTTTAGATTTATGGCTATTTTTTTTTTTCCTTTTTGATTCTGGGAATTGAATGCAGGACACTCAACCACTTCCACGTCCCCATCCTTTTTCAAAAAATATTTTTGATTTAGAGACATAGTCTTGCTAAGTTGTTTAGGGCCTTGCTAAGTTGCTCTGGCAGGCTTTGAACTTGTGATCCTCTTGCCTTAGCCTCCCAAGCTGATTATTTTTTTTTTTAAGCAAAAGCTGGAATAATTTTGACTTTCATGCTAGGAATGAAGTGCTAAAATAGGCCCCCAAATCATTCTAAACGTTTCAGAATTGAAATTATGATACAGAATGAAAACAAACTCAGGAACAATATCAAACTTGCTGAGTGAACCAAGTAATCTTTATTATTCATCCCATAAGAAAACTTCTGTGATCTATATGGCATCTAAATTTACTCCTTTTAGATCCTAGTTTACAATAGTTAAGCCCAAGGGATCACATTATTCAAGTTCATAATAACTTCTTGATTGCATGTCACTTTTATTACAATTGTGTTACTTATCCATTTTTTTAGCCATATCCCCACCCCACCCCCTTTTTTTTTAAATGTTGAAAGTGCATCTCATTGAGTTGCTGAGGTTGTCTTCAAACTTGCGATCCTCCTGCCTCAGCCTTCCAAGCCATTGGGATTACAGGCATGTGCAACCACCCCTGGCTTTACTTACTCTTCTTCAGATGACACAAGCCCTCACTTCTTAATTAAATTGAATAATTGGTCCTGTCCAATGTAATATGTTTCCCTTTCTTATTATACCTTACAGGGCATTGCAGACAGGCTAGTCCTTTTAGATCTCTCAGAAGGAACAAAAGGTGGAACCATGGACCTTGACATATTCAACCTGCCTAATGTGGAAATCAGCAAAGGTATGGTTATTATGCCTAAAGATGTTTGCTTTACTTGCTCTTATATTTGAGTCTAAGAATTAGCACTGGGAATTTAACTCAAGGCCTCTCATATGCTAGGAAAGCAATGAGTTCTACCTCTAGTCTTTTCCATTTTTGAGACAGCATCTGCCTGAACTCGTGATCTTCTTGTCTTACCCTCCTGAGTAGCTGTGATTTCAGGTATGTGCCACCATACCTGGCTTAAGTTCTGGAATTTTAAGGCTGAAAAATAATTTCAAGATTACCTAGTACAAGCCTCTCATTTTTTTTTTTCCTTTTTTAACAGTGGGATTTGTTATAATATATACAAGCTCCTCATTTTGTCACAAGAAGTGTCTCTGAAAAAGGGTCCAAGAAGTTCATGGCGAAAGAGGGGAACTTGACTCAGGACCAGTGGGGTTTTGGGCATATGTGATGGAAAAGAATTAAAGCACACGCCACTCAGGCATAGAGAGAGGTTTATTTAGGAAAGATACATAATTAAGGGAAATCTCAAGAGAGAGACACTTATGTGGGTAAAGCAAGGCATATGCCCTCAAGGGAGAATGCAGGTCTTTTTAAGGATGAGAAATGCAGTTTTGGTGCTACTTTTTAAGGAAACTTGGCGAGGGGTGGGTATGGAAAAGTGTATAGGAATGATATCAATCCAGTGATCTCAAGACAGTTTCTAGTAGTCTGATATGTATCAGGATCCTTAGGCTGACATGGTCTTTATTATCTGATCAATAGTGCTAAATTATGGGTTCCTCAAGACATTATATTTCCTCCCCCTCCCCTTTGCCTTCCTCCTTATTCTCTCTTCTCTCTCCCCCACCCTCTCCCTCATCCCCCATTTTTACCTCTCTCCTTATTCTATTATTGAGGGTTTAATTACAGTGCACAAGTAAATTTACAGACTTCCCAGGAATTTAGGAATAATAGGTGTGGAAGGAAGACTGGCTTGGGGAGTTATAGGCCTGGAAAAGTATGAAGAACTTTTGAAGTAAAATCTTATTTTCTGGTTCTTTCTTTATGACTTTTTGCCTATTTCCTATTCCTTCTAGCCTACCTCAATTTTATGCACTGGGAAACAAAGATTCAAATAAGTTAAGTAACTTGTACAAAATCATACAGATCATAAATGATTATGTTAACAGAGTCAAACGAGCAAATAACATCCAGATTCATTCATATTGGCCATAAGAATTTGTTATTTGACTTATATTTCCACATGAATTTGTCTTTTGATTGCTTCCTTTCTCAGAACATATTGGTTTAAAACACTGATCTTAGTGTTAGACAGTGGTTTGCATCTTAGCTCTGCTATATTAGAGCTCTGATGTTTGTCAGATTATACAATCTCTCAAAAAAAATTCAGTTTTCTCATGTGTGAAGTAGGAGACTAGGGATATAGCTCAGTGGTAAAATGTTTACCTAGCATGCATAAGGCCCTGAGATCAATCTCTAGCCCTGAAAAAATAACTAAAAATTTTAACAGTTATTTTTTTTTTATCTAATTTTCCCCCTTTGGAGATGGGGGTTCTCACTGTATTATCCAGACTAATCTAGAACCCCTGGGATGAAGCATTGCCTCAGCCTCTTGAGTAGCTGGAAATACTTGACTTCTCATACTTTATTTATTTATATACCAGGGATTGAACCCAGGGGCACTTAAGCACTGAGTCACATCCCCAGCCCTTTTTTAAAATTTTAAGATAGGGTCTCATTAAATTGCTTATAGCTTCACTAAGTTGCTGAGGCTTGCTTTGAACTTGCAATCCTGCCTCAGCCTCTTGAGTCACTGGGATTACCAGCATGTATCACTGTGCCTGGAAACTTTTCACATTTTAAATTTTAAAAAATTGAGTCTATTTTATAATGTCTATTATAAATTATAGGATACATTTGGATAGATAAATACTATATTTGGGAGTATTTGAAAATTTTTTGAAAAAATATATAATATATAATAATATATAATATAATGTATAATAATATATATAATATATTTGAAAATATTTTCCTACCAGGGATGCATGATTTAGGAGGACACCTGTAGTCCCAGTTGCTCAGGAGGCCGAGGCAAGAGGACCATGAGTTCAGAGCTAGTCTCAGCAACTTAATCGAGGTCTTAAGCAGCTAAGCAAGAAGACCCTTTCTCTAAATACAATATTTTAAAAGGGCTGGAAATGTACCTCAGTGGTTAAGCGCCCCTGGGTTCAATCCCTGGTACCAAGAAGAAAAAAAAGGTCATTGAAAGACACATTTTCTAAAATGTTTCTACCAGTTTATAGATCAGATCAGATGATACATAGTATGGCTGTTTGGCTTGCTTTTGCCTTTACTTGGGTCCCCTGTATTTCTTGACTATGTTTTCCAAATAATGTATAAAAACACATAGTCTCACAAGCCTGAATGTACTAAGAATAATGGTCAGAAAAACTGAAATCTCTGTTCTTATGAGTTCTAAAAATTGGGTGTTATAGTTTAGTAAACCTGTAGGAGACAATGAGTTCATTTTGCTTCTCTGGAAAAAGTACTGTAGCTGCTTTAATAATCCTTTTGTAGGCCTCTTGTGGAGGATCATTTGGGGAACAGGGTATTCTCTTGTGCCAGTCATTTCCAGGGAGTGAAGTTCTTAAGAGACTTCTTAAGTCGTCCAAATCATTTTAGGAGACTGTTTAGTACATGGTCCCTAGAGGTTATGAGGCCATTTAGGACTTCAGGAAATTATTTCTTTCTGTGTGTCTCATTAACCATCAATAACTATTCCCTCAGATAATAGAAAGCACAGAAACAATGGAATAGATAGATAACGGATGGTGCATGCCACCAAGTGGGGACTCAGTAATTATCTATTATCTATTGAATGTTGAATGAATATATATCATCTTGGGGCATGTTTTCCTAATTGATTTTGGTTGTACATTTCTGATGACATAACTTAATTACTAATACATGAAGCAATTTTAATGTAATGGTAACTAACATCCAATAAATATATGGAGAAGTACATTAACAATGTGGGGAATTAAAGCTCAATTGGAAATTTTATTAACACCACACCATGACATTCATAGATGATTGCAAGTGACTGATTATCCACTAGTTGTACTTTGCCTCATTTAGTTTTTTCAAATAGCTACTGTAACATTTTGGAGAGATTATATATGATCATGTAATACAAATATGTAGACACATACTTACACAAATAGTTATGCTCATGTATGCATGAACCAAATCAGGAAATACACTTAGAAACTGGTAAGAGTAGTTGTTTTAGGAATTAGACTGCGGAATCTGGCTGCTCTGTTTGCACATAATTGTGTGTGTGTGTGTATTTATATATTTAAATCCTTTTTATTGTGCTAAAATATACATAACATAAAATTACTATTGTGACTTTTAACACTAATTCATAATGTGTATTCAGTAAATTCACAACATTGTGTAACTATCACCACTATTTAATTTCTAGAACATTTCATTACCCACAAAAGGAAATTCTATAGTATACAATAAGTAATTGCTTCTTATTTCCCCTCCTCTATCCCCTGTTAACTACTAATCTGCTTTCTGTCCCTATGAACTTACCTTTTCTGGATATTTTATATATACCTGTCCCTTGGTATCCTAACCCTTCTACTATATTGTGCTATATATTGCTTAATAAGAAATAATATCTCATTCACTTTTGTGTTCTTAGAACTCAGTACTACTATCTGTGCTTTTTGTAGGGGGGTTATGGAATTAATTTTATTATGATCCTTAACCTTGTAATTTATATCATAGGTTTATAAATCATGCTTAAGGTTCTTCTTAATGATCTTCTTCCCATTATTAAATCATCAACTTCTAAGAAAAGACTTGATGAGACAGATAAAAATCTTGGACTGCTTTCCAAGAGTAAAGAACTTGTTGTCTATGGAGCAGTTTACCAAAACCTGGCTGTGTATCCAGACTCATATGGAAGGTTGCATTCCTGGAAGCTCCCTTTATCTACTTAAATGAAATCCTCAGAAAATGAGATAATCTGCATTTTTATTAAGCTTTCCAGGTTCTTTAGAAACACCGAGTCGAGCATGTGAGGAGTGCTGCAGGGAACTGACAGAAATGGAAGACTACATGATCAAAAGCAGCTTAAAGTTTAGATGAAAAGACACACATGCAAGAAATAAATAGTAATTCATAACAAGAGTAAAGAAGCAATATGTGATTAATTGCCGCAAGAACTGTGCAGACAGTAAAGACTCTTGGAGTTAAGTGGAAAGAATTACTTTAGCCTGAGTAAGACTAAGATATGTGCCAGGTTAGACTGGGGAGATCTGGACAGAGAGGTAGAGGAAATTGTACCAACTGCTAAGCGACTAGATCTGAGAGTTGCAAAAATTAAACACAACTCAGTTCTCACAGAGTGATAGCAATGTTTGGTGTAATAGTCACATAAAAGCACATCAAACATGTGGTAAATACAGTGAGAAACATTCCAGATGGAAAGAACTTGAGCAAAAGCCAACATCAGGAAAATGAAAAAATGCTTTGAGGAATGACTATAAGATCAGTAGAGTTTGAGCCAAAAGGTTATATAAAGAATACTTAAATATACTGTCTTTTAAACTCAAGAAAAGATTAAAAGGCTTGGGATCTTAATCTATGGAGCAGGAGACCTTTCTTGTCCTTTTCAAATCCTGTAGACACCAACTACTTTTGTGTACTCGTATGTCAACCATGAGGGTGAGGGCATTTCTGTTATTTAAAGTACAGGAATCAGCCAGGTGGGGTGGCACATGACTGTAATCCTAGTGACTTGGAGGCTGAGGCAAGAGGATTACAAATTTGAGGCCAGACAGCAATTTAGTGAGGCCCTAAGCAACTTAGGGAGACCATGTCTCAAAATAAAAAATAAAAAGGGCTGCGGATGTGGCTCAGTGGTAAGTACCCCTGGGTTCAAACCCTAGTACAAAATAAATAAAGGAAGCTAAAGGAGGAAAAGAAATATAATTCTGGCAAAATAGTTTAGGGGCTAGATTATAAAGTTGTAAATTGAACTGCTCACTGGTTTTTAATATGGAGAAAGCTACAATGTACCAGTTTCCTCATCTTTTATGAGAATGTAGGACTATTTTTAAATATAGTCTGTTTATTGGCATCTGAAGCCAGATTATCTGGGCTTGAATTCTGGCTCCTCTACTTACCAGTTTTATAACTTTAAGCAAATTACTTAACTTCTCTGGGCCTCAGATTACCCATCTATAAAATGAGGGTAATAATGCCCATTCTGTATTGTGGACTAGATTAAATAAGTAACTGTATGGAAAGTTGTTAGACCACTACCTGGCACATAGTTGATGGTATGAAAGGTATTCCTTCCAGTTCTTTAGGTTTTGTCTCATGACCAGGTATCCATTCAAAACCCTAGAACACAGGAATTACTTAAGAGGATTCATGAAGAATCACAGTTAAATTCAGACTTGGGATCTACCATCACCAGAACTATTTCAGAATCTGAGCTTAAACTGGGTAAAGTGTTTCCCAGTGGACACATTATACAAGAATTTCCTTCTGAAACTACTTTAGAAAGATGGCCTTAGAGAAAGATCCTTTTTCAAAACAAAAAATAAAAAGTTGCTAGGAATATAGCTCATTGACCTAGCACCGCTGGGTTCAATCCCTCATACCACAAAAGAAAGGAAAAAAAAAAAAAGAATATTAATTCTGGGAACTACTGTCCTCTGGATGCTAATATTCATTTACAAATGTTGATTAGACTCATGCCTTTTTTACTTTATTGTTTTTCTGTTGTTTCTGATAATAACAACTGGCCACTGTTTTGGCATGCACTCACTGTAAAGTACACAGTGAAGTAGAAAATATAGTTGTAAAATAGCATATTTGTGCTTGAGAATCAGAGGAAGGAAATCCATAGGCCAGCTTTTTCCCAAGTCATAACTGTTGCTTACCTGTAGGTCCCATTAAAAGTAGTTGTTACCCAAGAACAGCTGGATTTAAGTATTAAAAAAAGTTAAAAATGAGCCAAAGCCAGGTGCAGTGGTACACACCTGTAATCTCAGCTACTCTGGAGGTTAAGGCAGGAGGATCATAAGTTGGAGGCCTGCCGTAGCAATTATCAAGATCTTATTTCAGAATGAAAAATAAAGGGCTGATGACCTGGTTTAATCCCCAGTGATGGATGGATGGATGGATAGATAAAATAAAAACTTTTAAAAAGGGTTGGGGGATGTAATTCAGTGGTAAAGTACCTCTGGATTTAATTCACAGAACTGGGGAGGAAAAAAAAAGAATGGAGATATTTTAATTTAGAGATTTTCAAACCAATTTTTTGGTTTTTAAAGTAGAATCCTTAATAAATAAAACAGATCAAAGCAGCACTACTGTGCTTGGAGAAGCCAAAGTAAGTGGCCTAGAGTCCTCCCAGATGGCCTCTGAGTCATTTTCAAGAAATTTTAGGACCCCTAAACTCAGTTTAGAAGTCAGTTAACTGATTGTAATTTCATTTTGTCTATAGCATATTATTCATTTTTCCTTAAAATTTTGTGACTTGCATATAAAACTCAATTTCTGTGAATGTTCTTGGTCCTATAATTTTGTTTAAAGATAAACAAAATTGCTATTCCCCCCTCCTCCCTACTTGGGATATACTCTAGTTCTTAACCTTCAGCATTTTGTATACTTCCTATAGAAGTAGGATTGGTCTGGAGGCAGATCAATGCCTAAAAGTTCTGAATTTGTAGAAAAGAAAAAAAAAATTTTTTATTATGGACTAGAACTCGTTTAAAGCCTATATCTTGAACTCAGACTGTTTCTTTTTATTCATTAGATTTGTCTGCCTCTGCTCATTCCAAGGTGGTGATCTTCACCGTCAACTCTTTGGGTAGTTCTGAGTCTTATGTTGATGTTGTGCAGAGCAATGTGGATATGTTCAGAGCCCTTGTCCCAGCTCTGGGACATTACAGTCAACATGGTGTTCTGCTCGTTGCATCTCAACCAGGTAAAAACTTTTATTTTAAATTAATTTGATGGTTTAATATATCAGTAGAATTCCCATTACTGATAAAAGCCATAAAACTTTAGATTATAAAGGGAAGGACAGAATATTCAGTAAATGGCTCTTTTAGTTAACAATACAGTATTTCTACATACTATCAGTTGTTTGTTATGATTATCATTAATCAAAAGATTACAACTTAACAATGTTTTATGAAATATAGTATTGGGTTCCTGTTGTTAGTCATATCTTCCTTAGTGAGAAAATGGTTAACCTCCTGCCTTTGCCCCAAGAAAAATGCAGTGACTTATGTGAAACACTGTAACTCTGAAGTATTATAAAATGTTAGTAACATCTCAGAGTGCATTTTTCACTTTTTATATTTTATAAATTGTTTTGAAAGTGTTTTACTTGAAAAAGAAATATTTTCAAGGCATTAGGTGTTATTGAACTCAAATTGGTGAACAGACTTTAAAATGTTCCCAGTACAGGGTTAAGGTATGTATTTCACTTGTTTTTCTAAAGCAGTTGGTGGAGGGACATTGGTGTCTTTGATTTCTGACATCCTTTTGGCATGTACAAAAAAAAGAGTTGTGTTTTTGTTTAGAATACTATACTGAATAGTAGTAGTTTTTTATTGATATTTTCATTTAAAAATAGAAACTCAGCTTAAAATAGACACAGAAAAATTTTATTAGTTAAATGAAATGATTATTTTCTATATTCAGTTTTCTTTTCTTTTTTTTTGCCTAAATATTTCTAGGAAATTATATGTTCCATCCTAACAATTTAATATGTAAGAACAAAGTTGTGTAAAGTCTTTTTGAAACCTGGTTAGTGTACTTAGAAAATATATATTTATGCCTCAATGCATTTAGGATCTAAGAAGAATATATAGAAGCTCTAATATACCTTGATTATTATAATAATAAATATTTTATTTGTGAACTAGACTCAAAATGCATATTTTTAAATCTTTATATTTTTCACCTTGTATGTGACATTTAGTGGAAATCATGACCTATGTGACATGGAAACTGAGTACATTTCCTGCATATCGAGTGATTGGAATTGGATGTAATCTTGATTCACAGAGATTACACTATATTATTACAAATACCTTGAAAGCACAGACTTCAGGCAAAGAAGTTTGGGTTATTGGTGAGCAGGGAGAAGACAAAGGTAAGAAATACATTTTTATTAGTTACATTGATAAATCACCAGTGGTCATGACAATTGGATATATCTGGGGACTTTAGAATTGTGGAGCTTTTTTGGCTTTTGTTTCACATTTGAGTGCCTTCTGTATTTTGGGCCCAGTATTATAAATAGACTCTTCATGTGTGTCATTGTCCTTCTAATTACTTTTCCTTAAGTGTAAGATTAGGCAAGATCTGTTAGTAAGGTTTTATAATTTCTTTTATTGCATTTCAGAGTCCCACGACAAATTTAAAAGTTTAATTTTCCAGAAAAAGACATTTAAATATATTTAAAGCATTTATAAAACCCTTCTTCATCACTCATCCCAACCTCCAATCTTACTTATGTTTCCTAAATTTAAATCTTCTCCCTATAGGCAAAGGCACATAAAGTATGGCATGTTCATGGGATTTAAAAAAAAAAAAAAAAATCTGGACTATTTGTTGCAAAGGGTTTTAACCAGGTCAAGCTGGTTGAAATCACATTTTGGAGATCTCTGAATACCTGATCAACAAATTGGAAGGTGAATCTCTGGCAAAGGGAAACCATGAGAATGAAATGTTGAAATGGTACTCTGTTCAGCAGAGGTGTTGTAGGTAGAGCAAGGCATAGAAAATAACCTTTCTTCCTGTGGGGAGGCAATCATTTAACTGAAGAACTGGAGAAAAACCATGTATGTTAAAAGCTAGATATTAAACCATGGTGCCATAAAGCAAATTGTCTTCTCTAAACTATTTTCTTGGAATATAAACTCTGTATCTGCTTTGATGCCATTAAAACAAATAAAATTACTGACAGTGGTGATAGCTAGGTTAGAGGTAACTTTTAAACATTTATAGTTTTCTTTATTTTCCAATTTAATCATTATAGATATAAAGGATTTATGTAATTTTAAAGAAAAATTTAAAAATAAAATACAGCAGTATCTTAAATCTGTATAAATCTGTACTAGCTACCTATAAAGTTGAGTGTTATAATGAATCAGGCTATAGAATAAACCTTAAAAAAAATTCTGACAGTGTGATTGAACAGAAATGGTTTTTAGAGCTGGGGATGCAGCTCAGTGGTAGAATGCATGCATGGGGCTCCAGGTTCCATTCCTAATACCACACACAATAAATAAATAAATAAATGGGAAGAAAAGAAAAAAAGAAAGGGAAAAAAAGGAGAAAGAGGAAGGGAAGGATGGATTAATTTTCAGGCTCCACAGTTGCTTCCTGATACAAAATACTAAACAATAGATTCCTCAAAAAGGGTAGCAAACAAGAACTTGGAGTAGATGTATTGAGTAATGAATGTCTGGGGATTCAAACAAACCCAAGACCCTGAATTTTACTCATTAACATTGACATTCTGGTCCATGTTGATCTCTTGTTTGCTGATCAATCTGTACTCAGTTAAGACATTACCAGTACCACTGAAGCTATCTACCTAAGTACTTTTCCCTATTCTACTTCCTTGCTTGCCATCTAGTGGTAACATGAGACCACTATTTTGGGTTTTGTCTTTTGCTTTTTATGGTACTAGGAATAGAACCCAACACCTCACACCACTGAGGTACACCCCTAACCCTTGGGTTACTTTTAATCCTGTCTTCTCTCTTGCTTCAAAGACATTTATTCTGTAGATCAGTATACTTACTGGCCTTAATGTGAGCAATCCACAAGATACTTCTGGAAAAATATACCCTGACTCTCTAAACAGCTGTAGAAATTCAGTCCAAAAATAGAAGGTTTCCAAAGGTGGAAGGAATTAGTCTCAGTGCAGTTCCCAGCAGAACAAATGGCAAGTGCTTGCAACATTTAGAAGCCTATTATATGCAGCCTTCTGAGGAAACAGTGCTTTCTACTCCTACAGTAAAACAGCAATTCTAGTGCTGATATTGATAAGAAAGAAGAGGTAAGGAGGCTACAAGTAAACTTTAGAGATCATATTTCTTGGGGATTGTAGTTCAAAATCTTTTCTCATCCTTTGTAATTAGTACAGCAAATGCAGTGCAATCAATAGAAAAATAGCTATTGCTAGAGAAGGAAAAAACTTGTATTAAAAAGACTAATACAGGTACTCTTCCCTAAAAAAGATTATTTGTACATTTTACTCCTTAGACAAGCATTGGCAAAATATAACTAATTCTTCATTTAATTTTTAGTGCCCATTTGGAGTGACCAAGAAATGAGTCATAGCTCTCAGGTGCAGCTGTCCAACAGGTAACACACTGTAAATCTGTACCTGACCAACTAAAAATTATGTACTTCATAGCTAATATAATAGCTATTTACATAGCATGTTCTTATCAAGCTTCTGTAAACAAAGCTAGCTAGTATGGACAAATCCAAAAGCATAAGGGAGCAGAACCCTGGTGTGGTGGCACACACCTATAATCCCAGCAATTTAGGAGATTGAAGCAGGAGGATTGCAAATTTAAGGCCAGCCTCAGCAACTTAGTGAGATCTTGTCTCAAAATAAAAAATAAAAAGGGGTGCTGGAGTTGTGGCTCAGCGGTAGAGCACACGCTCAGCACATGTGAGTCCCCGGGTTCCATCCTCAGCACCACATAAAGATAAATAAATAAAATAAAGGTATTGTGTCCAACTACAACTAAAAAAAAAAAAAAAGGGTTGGGGATGTGGCTCAGTAATTAAACATCTCTGGGTTCAATCCTGGTCATGCCCCTCCCCCCAAAAGAAACTATAATGGAGCAGTATTTTATTTTATTTTGCTTTTTAATTGTTTAAAAATATTTATTTTATAGTTGGACACAATACCTTTATTTCACTCATTTATTTTTTACCTGGTGTTGAGGATCCAACTCAGGGTCCCACGCGTGTGAGACCAGCGCTCTACTGCTGAGCCACAACCCGAGCCCCGGAGCAATATTTTATAGTTTTTGGTTTCTTCTTGTTTTTTTTTTAATCTTTGGTTTCTTATCTGAAGAGTGTTTTGCAAACTTTGCAAACTCTTCCAGATAACACAGTTGACATTTAAAGGGTATAACATATTCCTTATTTGTAAACAGTGATTTATTTCTCTCATACCTAAACATATGAGGATATTAGCAATTTCCTTACAAGAGTTCATATAACTTAAAAATTTTTATGTATTAATCATACATAAATACACCTGAAAATCAGTCTAATATGAATAAATAATGTTCAGGAGGAAAAAATATAATGTATAGGTCCTTGTATCTTTCACTTTTGTTTGGAGACCTTTTGAGAGTCAAGCTCCATAAAGTTGGACTTTATACACTATATATTTTCATACCATCACATAATAACAATTTTTACTGAAGTCCAAGTGGTGGTGACTTTTGTTTTTTGTTTTTCTAATTTTTAATATTTTTTTCAACGCTCCCCCATTTCACAGACTCCCTTGGGACAAAGGGATTTTAGTGTTGTTTTTTTTTTTTAATATATTTTTTAGTTATAGTTGGGCACAATACCTTTATTTTATTTGTTTATTTTTATGTGGTGCTGAGGATCGAACCCAGTGCCTCGCATGTGCTAGGTGAGTGCTCTACCACTGAGCCACAATCCCAGCCCTATTTGTTTTGTTTTTTTGTACTGTAGTAACAAAAGATTGAACCCAGAGGTGCTTTTGGACTGAGTACATTCCCAGCCCTTTTTTTAATTTTGAGACATAGCTCACTATGTTGCTGGCCTCAGACTTGTGATCTGCCTGTCTCAGCCTCCCAAGTTGCTGGGATTACAGACCTATACCACCACACTGAGCAGGATTTTAACTTTTAAACTTTCAGTTTATGTTTTTTAGAATATAATGACTGGAATTTCCTCCTTATTTAGAAGATTAGTGTGATATGATTCATTCTAATTTGATTATATAATCTTAATTTATATATTTTTATTTGTTTGGTGGTTCTGGGTATTAAACCCAGGGCCTCGAGCATGCTAAGCATTTATTTACACTACCACTAAGCAATATTCCCTGTAGTTTATCATTTTTGTGGTACGGGGGATGGAATGCAGGGGTGCACTACTGTTGAGCTACATCCAGCCCTTTATATTTATTTATTTTATTTTGAGACACAGTCTCACTATGTTGCTGATGCTGGCCTCAAAGTTATGATCACCCTGCCTCAGCCTCCCAAGTAGCTGCTGATATTACAGATATGCACCACCATGCCCAGCTCCTCCCTATATCTTTTGAAAGGAATAAATTCAAATGATTGTTTAATTTATATTGTTCTTTTAACAAAAGTAACATATGCTTATTATAAAACTTCAAATACTACAGATATTTATAAAGTAGAATGTAAAAAGCTGGGGTAAATCTATCTTCCAGAGAAGTTTTAGTGTCCAGTTTTTTTTAATGCTTCTACAAATATATTATTATTATTTTTATAATAGACTTATGCTACTTACACTGTCTTGGAAATTTATTTTAAAAAATAAATTTGTGATATTTTTCCATATTATACATGACAATCTAGTATCTAATTTTTCAGGGGTCTTTTTGGTAGGATGTTATTTTTCCAGTACTGGGCACTGAACCTGGGGTGCTTTATCACTCAGCTACATTCCCAGCCCTTCTAAATTTTTTTTTTTTTTTTTTTTTACTTTTTGAGACAGGGTCTTGCTAAGTTGCTGAGGCTGGCCTCAAACTTGCAATTCTCCTGCCTCAGCTTCCCGAGTCAATGGAATTACAGGCGTATACCACTGGCTACCTATTCTTAAGAATAAAAGCTATATGATACTACATTTGGTAATAATTTATTTATTTATTTTTTAAATATTTATTTTTTAGTTTTAGGTGGACACGATATATTTTATTTTTATGTGGTGCTGAGGATCAAACCCAGTGCCTCATGCATGCTAGGCAAGCACTCTACCACTGAGCCATAACCCCAGCCCGGTAATGATTTATTTAACGGTCCCCTTTTGATGAGTTGTTTCCAAATACAGAAAACATGTTTATGTGTATATCTTTACACATTTGAGTATATTACTATAGGATAAATCCCTAGAAGAATAATTTTTAGATCAGATGTTGCCAAATTTTTCTAAAATCTTAGATCACTTTATACTCTCAACAGTAGTTATAGGAATGCCTATGTATAGCTTCTTCAAATTTAGTTATCAGACTTTTAATCTTTGCCAGGGGTAATAGGCAAAACTGGTATTTATTGTTTTAATTCCTAATTAGTTAAATCATCAGGGTGGTGAGAATCTTTTAAAGCATCTCTCTGTGAACTATGAATCTGACATTTTAAGGAAAGCTTAAATAATCATTCAATTATCTGAAAGCCTTCCTAAAACCATTACTGTATAACTCTTATTTCTGTGCATAAAAACACCTAGTTAATGCCTTAAACAGAATGTAAAACTAAATGGTGAATATTTTTTGCATTTTCTAAGGTCTTTTTTTGTTTTGTTTTGTTTTTTGTAATCTAGAGCCATGGAACTATTAAAGGTAAAAGGTCAAAGATCCTGGTCTGTTGGACTATCTATAGCTGACCTGGTCGACAGTATTGTAAACAATAAAAAGAAAGTACATTCTGTATCAATTTTAGCAAAGGTAATGGTTATTCTCATTGTCTCATTTTAAACTTTCATATTAATAATATAAAACCAGCAAAACTGTTGTTCACACTCTAATGCAGGTGTCTTCAATGTCACCAGCTTTCAGTGTAAGATGTTGGAGGTGGCACTTCAGCCTAAGCCCTATGCTATTTAACTGTGAGAAGTCTGGATCTCTACCAGGTTGTCCTCTCACCCTCACGTAATTTTTGGGAATCTCCAAGCAGTGTTTATATATTCCATAAACAACTTCTGGTTGTGATTTATTACATCAGCCAGCCACATCACCTCAAACTGATGTGCCAACTTGTCTCAGCTAGTTATCAGTCTGTTTCTCCAATTGCCTGTCTTTTGCTGCTTTTACCCAGAGCATAAATTCCCTAGAGTATAGCTAAGATGAAACACAAATGCTTAATCAGACTTTCGTGAAGACTTAGAATACCAGGAGCGAAATACAATATGGAAAAGAAAACTTAAAAAAAGTTACTGTATTGTACCCAGATTCCATGGGATGTCCCTCTCCAAGGAATCTACTTTGTCCATCTTTTTCTTATGATATGACCTTTTTTTTTTTTTTTGCAGTGATTCACTTCTATTATAATCCCTATATTTTTCATTTTAGGGATATTATGATATAAATAGTGAAGTGTTTTTAAGTTTACCTTGCATCCTTGGAACTAATGGAGTATCTGAAGTCATTAAAACCACAGTGAAGGAAGACACAGTGACTGAGAAACTCCAAAGCAGTGCATCCTCAATCCATGGTCTCCAACAACAGTTAAAACTTTGACTCTCAAACACAGTTACCTGAAAGAAAAGATCATTTAATTTTGCCAACATATATTAGATTTGAGTATGTCTGTGTCTTATTTGTCTTACCAACTGCTTGGTTAAGGTAGATGGTTTCTTGGTTAGCTCTGTCATTTGATCCTGAAGGAGTTAGATAAGGAAGGAGAAAAAAATCTAATTTCATTCGGGATGCTTAACATATCTATACTGTTCTTCAAGCTACAACAAGGATAAACATGCATCTGCAGTGTGTAATATTTTAAATTGTGTACCCCAAACTCAAAACACACTAATCACTTTGGAGATATACTGAAAGAAATGAATTTTATAAAGGTTACTTTTTGACATTTATAATAAATATGATAACCTAAAGATCCAGAATGGGCCTTATTTATAAAATCTGTGCTAGGTGCATATTCAAAAGATTCATAGTTTAATGTTGATGTTCTTTTGCAAAACACAGTTGGTAATAATGGTAAGACATTTTCTTTTCCTTTTCAAATTCATTAGCTACCACAACTGGGAAAGAATTTTATATGCACTTTAAAATAGTAAAAGGTAAATGTAAAATTTTTAACATATAAAGAAAAAGTATATGTAATTTAATTTCCAGTAGGATTTCCTTTCTGAAATTGTCTATAACCTCTTCTTGGACTATATAAGATCCCCCACATGACATGTGATAATAGTAGAAGCATGGAAGAAATGTATGTTTTGGTAGAAACAGATTATGAGTAAAACCTTTTCTTTTAAAGCCAAAATATGAAGACTTCATAAAAACCATTGGTCTTAAGGGATAGAGGCTGAGTGGACTGATGGTTCTGAGCAAATCCTTTAACCACTCCAGAAGAAACAATTCAGAGTACATATGCTTTAGAAATGAATCATTAACAATGTTTTTAAAAATTTTTTTTAGTTGTAGATGGACACAATATTTATTTTTATGTGGGTGCTAAGGCTAGAACGTTCCTCACACCTGTGAGGCAGGTGCTCTACCACTGAGCTACAGCCCCAGCCCCTCATTAATAATGTTTTCATGTGTTAAATAGAGCATATTATTACTATTTTGATACACAACTAATAGTAACAGCTAACATCAACACTATATAACAGGAATTATAATTAGCACTTTACTATTTTATTGAATCCTCATAATAACCCACTAAGGTAGGGACTATTATCATCATCTTATAGAGGAGAAAGTTCAAATTTATAGTCTTTACTTTTTTAAGGTACTAATAGGGATAAAATGCTTAACAGCCAAAATAGTGATCACAAGACCCTAAAGTTGAGGTCCTAAATACTAGGAAAAATTACTTTCATTCTCTAAAAGTTTACTTTTAAAAAACATAAATTTTTAGAAAGACTAATTCCCTAGCTTCCTAATCTGTCCTCAGCAAACAGCAGAGGCAGCTATGAACTAAGATAGGCTTTTATTTAGTCATCTAGTTATTTATTTGGAACTTATTATACTCCAGGCACTAACAGTGAACATGCCTGGACTACATACAAGCATTCCTGATCCTTATAATCTAGTTTGGGAAACAATAAATCAAATCCTACATATGTACAATTCCAATTGTAGTAAGTACCGTGAAGAAATCCAAAGTGTCTTGTAAACATAATAGGTACATACAAATCTGGGCAGAGAGATAGGAGCCAAATGGTTTATAAGGGTAGACACATTGTAGAGGGTAAATAGTCATTCTAATGCTCACTTAATAAAAGTGGTGAACTTCAGTAATTAAGGTAACATTCAGTATCCCATGTTTAAGAAAGTAAAAAAGTATTTAATATGCTTGGAAAGATTCCCACCAGATTAACTGGATAAAAATTGTGGACATTTGGAGTGGGGGTGTAGTTAGTGGTAGAGCATTTACCTAGCACACACAGACTCTGGGTACTATCCCAGCACTATAAAAACAATGACCAAAAAACATTTGGATATTTGAAGAGATAAGCATTAGATTTGATTTGATTATTTTGGTTTTACTCTAACAATGTATCCTTTTTTATGAAATAGTAAAACTGAAAGAAACATATCTTATATTTTTAACTAGCCTTTTATAATAAGTGATAACTAATCAAAAATTTGGTAATTTCTAAAAATCTTAATTTATAACTTTTTTCTTTTCTTTCTCTAATATATTCTTGAACAACAATCTAACTGCAAAATATTACTGTCTCCTAGATAAATTGCCAAGAGTTCACTACATTAATTATAACAGGAACATGACAACACAACATTTAGAGTACCTACTGTTATTCCAAATATTGTGTTAGAATTTGAATGTTCCAAGATGAACAATGGTCCTTACCCTCTAGAAGGCCACAATATAGAAGTAATTCTGCTTCAGACATTCCCTTGAATATTGAGTATTAGTAATTATGTTGTTAAGTTCCACATATATGTCAAGAAGCAACTACCACCAACTACCACCTCACTATGATTTGATGATAATTTAACATTCAGTGCTTCTGCTAACTTTCACTTTTTTGTTTTTCCATAATTATGCAGTGCCTCTTCTTGTTATGATTTTTTAGTGGGGCTTGTATTAAAAATGCTTTTGTGATACTATAGTAGAAGATATATTTTTACTTTCCAATTTATATTGTTTTCCTTAAATATCAAGAATAATGAATAAAGTTTGATTTTTAAATTCACCATGTGATGCCTGATTTATTCAAGTTAAAGGAAGTTTATTCAGATTTGGAGATTTGTTTCATATAATTCACACAGCACCTAGTACATTTAATTACTTAAGTGACTCTTAAAATGAGATTGGATTTTATCAACTGTTTTCAAAGTTTTAAAAATTATTTTAGCAAAACTTTTTGTTGTTGTTCTAATTGAAGTTACTTCTGAACAAGCTGTGACTTTGAGAACACTTTGAAAACCATATTTTTAAGCAACATAAAAGAGCAGGAGCAGTAGAACTGACCTTTTGGTTTGACTAGAGCTAACATATGGTTGTCCAGGAATAATATATATCTCTTAAATTGCCTTTATGTGTCTGTATTGACAACACTTTATAATATCTCCACATACTTTCAAAATAGGCCCTTCTGTGTCTGTGACTTTCACTTAGATGCCAGCTTAGAAGGGAATCAATACCATAGTCTGTTCTCATCAGCACTATATTAAAATCATTCAAATGAATCATACTTCACATAATCAAACCTAAGTTTTACAATACTTTGACACTGTGCTTGTAAAACTGGTGATGATGTGGAATAATGACTAATATAATTCATCATAACGAGCCAAGCCTGGTGGCACATGTCTGTAATACTAGAACTCTGCGAGGCTGAGGCAGGAGGAAAGGAATTTCAAGGCAAGCCTAGGCAACTTAACAGGACCCTATATCAAAATAAAACAAGGCCTGGAGATGTAGCTCAGTGGTTAAAGTGCTTGCATAGCGTGCACAAACACCTGGGTTCAATCCCCAGTATTACAAAAAACACAAGTTACCATAACCCCAAGGGTGCTCTGCCACTAAGCTACATCCTCAGTCCCTTTATTTTACTTTAAGACAGGGTCTCTGCTAAATTGCTGAGGGTGGCCTTGAACTTCTGATCTTCCGAAAGGCTCACTACCTATTCTTGCACTATACAAGACCATGAAGATCTGAAAATACGCCTGCCCCAAGGACTTGTATTTGGTGGACAGGCTGGTAGTTGAACACAAAGCAAGGTAGAATGCAGCCTGTATTTTCAACTGCGTCTAGGCAGACAAGAAAAGTTCTAACTTAGGAAAGGTATCTTGGTGAAGAAATTATTGTCTGGCTTCCTGAAAAACAAGGGCTTTCTACACTTCGCCTTTGCAAACGTAGTATGAAGGACTTTTAAGTTTTAAAAAAGACAAAAACACCTGATAACCAAAGAAACCTTGGACGTCTTCTAATGTAAGCCGCTCATCTTAGAGATGGAAGGAAAAAAAAAAATAAAGGCGAAACTAAAAGTGTACTTGCCTACTATTCTCACAAGAGTAAGTCGGTAGCAGAACATTTCTGCCAGTACAGTACCCTCCCACTTGATGAATCAGTCGTTAGTGCTCACTGGAAGTCCATCATACTTCTTGCCCTTCCTGCACCTGCTTCCTAAGTCTTAAGGTGACTGAAATACCTGCCAGTCTTATCCAAACCCAGAGCCTCGACACTCGGAGTACACCTGCCCTCATTTTTGGGACTCGGTCGGTCGAGTACCGCAACGCCAGAGGCGAGTTGATATAAACCCACACTATGACTGAACTCCGCCGCTTAGCGTGTACAACACTGTCTGCAGGAACGCGGCCTCGGAAGTGACGTAGCGGAAGTGGAAGTGCTGTGGTGGTGCTGACTTCCTGTTGTTAGAGGCAGGGGGGGTGGGGGGCTGGCCGCTTGGAGTGCGATTGTGTGGGGCGGCCTGGGCGGCCCGGGAGCGGCTGACCCTCTGCCTGCGTGGACCGGAGTCGCTAGGCGTCCGTCATGGCGGTGTCGGAGAGTCAGCTCAAGAAAATGGTGTCCAAGGTGAGGCCGCGACGCTCTCTCAGCCCCACGCGCGCCCACCACTCCCTTCCGCGCCTGGCCCGGACCGGACCAGCCAAGCCCAGCCCAGCTAGTCTCCCGAGCTGGCCGGAAGCCTCAGTGCGGTCCTCCGCTGCCTTCGCGGCCCCCACTCCCGAGGCGTCAAAGGCCTCGGAATCTGTTTATACCCGGGTAGGGAAAATGGGGGGCGGCGACCGTCAACAAAGGCCCAGAGGCTGTCTGCCACCTGTCCTTCGCTCTTCGGGAGAGTTTGGAGCCGTCTGTCGGGCGGTATAATTTTCCTCTTAAAATGTACAAACAGAGCCGGTCGTGCTTAGTTTCTGATCTAAGGTCCCAGAAACCCGTCAGTCTGCCCTTCCCTCGCTGGGGAGACTGTGGCCTTTGCAGTTTTGTATCCCCCGCGTAACTCAAAACCGGGCCGGCAAGAGAGTAGAATTGGCTCGGTTAAGTCAAAACGTCCAAAATACCAGTCCTTCGCTACCTCGGAAGCGTGAGTTTAAATTACAGTCCTCACAACTCAACTAGTATATATTTTTTTTTCATTTTTAAAACAATCAGGCATTTGCATTTTAAAGTTGTGGTTTAATTTGGTAATCACTTCAAAATGTGGTACTTGACGCCGGAGTGGAACGGTTTGGTTTAGTTTTGCGGGGGGAGGGAGGTGTAATTTTAAATTAATTGGAATAACATGTGAAGTGGTCGAGAGTTGAGCCTTCCCCAGTTCAATGGCTTAGCTTTAGATAGTTTGGTCAAAGCAGAATTGGTTTCTACCAATTATCCTCGGTTTAAGCAGTTTTCAATTTATAATAAAGCGCACTATTATATATAACACTTTTGTTTTTCCCTGTTTAAAAA